GTATCGGTTATCTGAATGTGTCTTTAAAATTCTAATGGCTGTTTGAATAATAAGATAAAGTAGCAGCCATTTGAACGCAGCATATGGGACTTATATAGTCTGCTCTTCATCCCGACAAAGACATCAAATTCATCTGGCATACTCTACAAGTTTACATGAACCCTTGGCAATACATGAAATGCCCGATACAATTACAAACTATCGCACTCAAGTTCCACAGGCAGCAGATTTCCAATCTTATCAAGACAACGTAGAAGATTCCAACAGTACCAACATGCTCCAACACGAAGAATGGGAAGGTTATGAAGAGGATGCGGGAGAAACCAACCCCTTCCACGACATGTATGAAGAAGATACTCACCCACGTCTTCACCAATTCCCATCTAGCGGCCCTCCTTCTAGAGCACCTAGTAGCAACAGCACCAACTACTCCATCAAGTCTCACTCCGACCTTGGTCGCTTACCCCCCTCTTCCCCACACTCTCCTACCCCATCCTACAAGTCTCGCGACCAACAGGCGAATACCAGTTTCGCAAAAGCAGCCACCTTCTCTCATTACCCAACAAACCACATGCTCCCCCCAGCTTCCCCCTCCCCCTCTTACAAATCTCGCGATGCAATCCTCAACATCATTTCAGCTTCCACCTCCACCACAAACTCGACAAACCGCATCATCCGCCTCCCTCCTCGTGGTGTTGCCCACTCTAACCCCGCCACCAACAGAAACTGGCTTCCAATCCTGCAATCCTTTCTCTCTTATACCTTCACCAACCCCGATATTCTCGAGGAAGCACTCGAAAACCCTAAGAATGGTGTAACCTGTGTTGGAAAAAGTATGCGAATCTGTTTGGATGGCAATGAAGGACTGGCGAAACTAGGTGAGATGGCCATTAGACTGGTGATGAGGGAACAGTTTTACTTGTTCAGTATTCCTGAAGGTATGTTTACCCTTTATTTATTTAAATTTCTCCGTGTTCTCTTCGGCAACATAGCGAGCGGTAGCCACGAATATACTAATCCGACTTCTCTAACAGTGCAAGCCTCTCAGATACTAAGCCGTACTCTCTCCCGCACCTCCCTCTCTGCTTACCCAACTATAGCGTCATGTATTCGTCCCCAGCCCAGCGTCCCAATCTCTTTCCGCAATATTATAGAGCTCGTCAAAGAAGACACGCGAGAAGATAACACCCGTGTTATTAGCAGAGCAGTCAAGGCGGTGATTGGGGCTGTGTATTTAGATGGTGGAATTGAGAGTGCGAAGAAGATAATGGAGAATTTGCAGATGGGAATCAAATTGCCACCCGGAAGTGGGAGGTAAATGCAAATGAGGAGAGATGATATGCAGATGCTCGGACGATGTAGTGGATGATATTGGTAGCTTCAGATCTTTCTTATGTTATAGTTAACCGACAGAGTTTCAATTATCTATGTCCCGATGCGAGCTCCTTGAAGTCCGAAGTTGATGGGTGCAAATCTTTCACTCGATCACATTGTCCCCAGAATCGCCAATTTGATGAACTTTCTAATTCTGCATGACATAGCGCTGCGAGTCTCTCACTATCAACTTACATCGTTCTGAGACGTGTTGATGTTGTAACACATGATGTTAGCTGTGAATTTGGTTAATTGGCCTGAAATGGCTAGCTTGGTAATGCGCCAATAGAATTAATTTATCTTGAAGGAATCAATAAAAATCTATATCAAGGGTTCATTACGCATTCAAGAATCAGCATCCCTTAGCGATTATTTAGTTAGATGTACCTAGGTACTCTTATACTCCTCTCGGCACGCTCGCAAGATTACCACCACGCTTATGTATGTATCATTTATATAAGCAGGCTGATAGCAACCACAACATCATATGATGACTAAGCAATGCTGCCTAGAACCTCAAAAACTCACCAATTCTAATTGAATTGCCTACCGATACTGAAGGAGGATCAGTGCTTAGTCATTAAGAAGAATTGCTATGCTAAATATCACGCGGTTATGAGAAGATAGACATCTCCATTCTCTACAATTACAATCGACCAATGGGCCACGTGCAGGCGTTCAGCGGGGAGCCCAGGAGGCCTCCAAGACCAACACGATAAATATATGAACAATCTCATTTTCACCCAAAGTTGAAATATAGAATTTAGAATGGTTTCTTGAGTATTCGGTCAAAATTCATACATCACAATGAACAAGAAGTGCGAACCTTGAAGATACCACAGGACCGATTAACTAACACTTGACACTTGTCGATGACTTCAGTCCAACAATTGGAACTTAAAATATTTTGCAGTAAATTCTCCAGAACGAATCGGACGACGAATGATTAACCAACGTCACAAGTGAATGGAAAGAAATGATACGACGGCGACATTAGGTCCTTTACACAACCTTCTAAAAGGCACGAGCAAGGAGCGAATGCAAAGTCATACGGTTTGTTTGATTCCGATCTGCAAAGAAGTAAACTTTATTGATTGGTATCAGTCTCTACAAGAGCACTTGCTATCTAATTGACACTAACTTCATCTTCGACAACTCAAGAGCACTTGAGCTGTGCACGGACCATTTTAAGCACTCTCATAAGGATCTGAATAAACGTCAAACGACCTTCCAAGGGGCTTACAGACTCGTGGAATATAACTCGGTGGTTTCTCGCTTCTCCGAGAAGTGTACCAGTACGGGTTTAGCGGGTAGGGTCGAGGAAATCTTCCTGCATGTGCCGCAGGGGACATCTCGCCAATCAGCTTCTAGCATAATTTTCGACTCAGCACCCATAAAAGCTGCAACCCCCTCCTCATCTTGCCCACCTTCTCTTACACTCCTTCACCTACTTACATTTCATCGAAATTCATCTCACAATCATCAGCAAAGTGATTGCACACACCTCGGACATTCAAACAATCTTCTAGAAATATTAACACGTGAGTAACACTTGGTACCCTCGCTCGGCTTGATCATCGCTTGATGATTCCATCTAGGTTCGTCAGAATACCAGCACGCTTGACACAATCCATCAACAGCTCATCACCTTGAGGTGATTCATCAAACAAACCATCTTCAATCATCAAGCTGTCATCCTTGATCATCAGAATAAAAACGATCTGGACTATAAAACGTCAGGAGATACTTCTCCCGGTATCAAGAACTTACCGACGCATCATTACTTCGACTCTACGGTGTCGCCATACAAAATGGAATGGAACACCATCCATAGAGAAGCAATGCCTATATTGGCCGAATTCTCGGAAATGGATCAAAGATCGCCTGCTCCCAGACAAAAATCTGTTCAATTCGCTCCTAGAGCCACTGACGACGAATTCAACGAATTCAAGATTAATCCAAGTGATACAAGACACAATTACAATACCACCGCCCTCAATATTACTAAGGATTCGGGGAAGAAAAAGATTCCATCGTATTCGAAATCGTTCAAGGCAGGTTCTTCCTACTATGACCTTGGCTCGACTCCAATTCAAGCATTCAATCGTCGCAAATTCCAGGACAAACCCATTGATCGACAGTACCGAATGGAATTCGGAGCTCAAAATGACACTGCTATTCCAAACCATCAATTCAAGCTTATTGCAGCCAGTACTCAACCTCAATATCGTCCCCGTGTCCCAAGTCCTCCAGTGAAGCGAGGGCCACCACCCACACCTCGGCCTATACGATTACCTACACCGGATTTCGAGGAAAATTGCAATGATCATCTTTACTTCTGTGACTGTCTTGGGTGTTATGAAGCTGAGAGGCCCCGACGTATCGTTGAGAGGGAAAGACAGGAAGCACCGGCGTATTTGAAGATGGAAAATCAATGTAAGATAACTGTGGAAACCAAGCCAACCACAACTGACCTAGGTAGATCAAGCAGCCACTGCCTACATACGTAATGCGAGACCAGCCGAAAGCCAGCGAAGACAGGACCTTGCTGTCGTATCAACGGAAGGTTTTCATGTGAGCAATTTAATACAATTGGGATACCCTCGCAATGCTACCATCACAGCTTTGGAAGCGTGCAGATACGATTTTGAAAAGGTAAATGTTTGAACCACAAATCATCGTCCTCGCTGATTCTGGATAATAGGCGGTGACTTTCTTGAGATATAATTATTGAACCCCCGTATTTGAATTTTGATTTCCTTTCTTATATCCAGTTCTTTAAAGCAAAAAGATGTTTCTGAATGGCGGTTTCGCTTCGAGAGGGCCCGTACATGGTGTACTTCGTATATTTAATTCAAATGTATATATGTATTCAATATAAGTTCGATCTCCTAGCAGTTCCAGTCGTCCTCGTGAGTAGTGGCTTGTGACTCATATGAGAGCTCTCTTTCGAGAGCAAGAAGGTTTCGCACAATAAAGCCATATCCAAAATATGCCAGGCGTATGAAGGTAGGAAGCGACAAGGTGAAGCAGATAGTAGCATAGCTTTGAAGCGATCTCTTGTGGACGATGATGCTTTTTATCTTTATTTTCTTCAAGTGAAAACGTGTTCCCTGCGGCATCGACTTCGAGTTTTCATCCCATCTGCGGACCAATATAGGCAGCGATTTTCCATCTTCGCAAGTGTGGGAATGCGCCAAAGAGGCAGTGCACCTTGGTCGACATCGACCTTTCAGATGATAGCGTTGTCCGTAATGTTATCAATCATTCGTCCGACCGGGTGTTCGTCCATTATATTAATCACCGAGAGAAACTTTCAAAGCAAAACAAGTCGCATACATTTTTCGTGGAGGTATTGATGAGTTAACTTTTTAACATGTCGTTGAAGCTGACTTTAGTCAATTAAATCGCGTTGTTCCAAATATGGTTAGGTCGCATGTGTACTTTGGGCCCGTGCGTGCCCCGCCAAAAGTTTGAAGCTTCAACCCCACCTTGTCGTCAACAAGCTTGACGGCTCCCTTCCGACCTCGCTGATAAAATACTATAAATTCTACTGTTGTACAAAAACTGTTTTGAAGAATCAACCTCGAGAAATACCTTTCGAATCTCATCAATCTAATATCAAAATGTCGGATCTTACTACAGTCTACACCAAGGACGCTGCTTTCCGTAAGCCTCTTCTGATTCCTGTGGAACTTGATTAACTTGAGAGCATCACCTCCTTTACACGCTCATCTAACAACCCTTTAGCAGCAGGACCTTACTCCCAAGCCATCAAGACCTCATCTACTATTTACTGCTCTGGACGTAAGTTTGTCTCTTATTTCAATTCCATTTCTTTTAAGAATAACATCCCATTCCACCGGGAACATTCTATTGACCTTTCTCCTGCAGAAATCCCATGCACACCCGAAGGCGAAATTCTCACCCTCGAGACCTCTAGCATCTCTGCCATGACCGAGCTCTGCATCAAGAACTTGTCTGCTGTTCTTAAGGAAGCTGGAAGCAGTATTGAGAAGGTTGTTAAAGTCAATGTGTTCTTGACTACCATGGACAACTTTGCGGAAATGAACGGAGTCTACGAGAAGCTCTTCAAGCACAAGCCTGCAAGAAGTGAGTTGATCTTTTCCCTTAATGAAGAGATAGGAGGATGGGAAGAAATAGATGAAGGCTTGAAATGACGTCTGAAGGATATGAATGAACATGCTAATGATGTTGCTCTAGGTTGTGTTGCTGTATACCAATTGCCCAAGGGCGTTCCGGTAGAGATCGAATGTATTGCATTGGCTTAAAGCTATATGTCATAAGAAGAGAAATGCCTATGAAAGCCCTAAGAATGACGACGCCGATGAATTTCTTCTGTAATCTCATGTTGAAATTATGACACTATGATCATACCACGAATTAGCTATTATAGGCCTTGCTACTACTGCCAATTAATCTTTCGTTGTTCATAATTTTAATAGTTTAAAATCTGCAGTCACAAGATATCTGGGGTTTTATCATCAAGCACTACACCCATTTGGCGTCTTTGTATGCACCATAAGTGACGTTAGCCAAGCACTATTTCATCATATTTCTGGAGAATTCAATCCTTCAAATCATTAAGGTTCTGATAGCTCAAGCCATCTGGAGAATTAGATTCCGATAAGATTTGCTTCGGCAAAATGTGAAGTCTCAACGTGAAGTCATCATGATACGGGCATTTGACTGCAGATGATTAATAGATTTTATCTTGGTCCATATACTTGAATAAACTGCGGCTCTAGGGGCCAAAATCATGATACTCCCCATCCAATGTCGGTCTGCTACAATGCTATATACTGCCAGATGCCATGATGCTCAAGTATCGCGCCATACTGAACGCGTAAGATGTGATGATTCGAGAGTCCAGATCCGTTGTGATATTATAGAGAGCATGCTAGTAGGCCACTTCAATCTATGAGTCCATGGAGTATCGGACTAAATATATTGAACAAACGTTTGGAGATGGGGAAAATCCATGTTGATACACACAACCCAATGGTGTTTCCTTGTCTCGTACACTCACTCGAATTGAGCGACTATTGGAATATCAGGGTAATGGATAGTCCTGAACAAATTGAGTCATGGAAATCCAGCATATCTACTAACAATGAGTAAATATGTACAAAGTCTTGTATAAGAGGTGGAAATAAAAATGAAACACTGTACCGTGTACACAGTGATTATATATAATCTGCTAAGTAAACCCAACAAAAAGCTTTGGAATAAAAGCAAAGTAGATCTACTACCTTTCCTGGCTTAGTGCAAGTAGATCATCTCAATCTATGCCTTGCATACTAACAGCAGCTAGCAACTAAATCCCAATACTAATCGATCACGTAGGCAATAACGATTAAATTGCCGGTCACCCAACACCACTCGACATTGCCGACCTCTATGTGCTGATACACGGCAAGGTGTCGGAAGAGTGCAAACCAGTAAATCTTAAACTTGGAATACTCAACCTCTCTATTCCCTACATTGTGAGTTGCTACTAGAACCTCCCAACATGAATAAGTTGATGATCATTTCTTGGCAGCTCCGAATGTTCCAGAAGATAATACCATTCTTGAAGACTTTGTGATATCAATAAAGTAATTCGAGTCCAATTGACTTGTAACAAAATGCCAGACACAAGTTAACATGCAGAGAAACTAACAAAGTAGTTTTCATACCTTTAGGATATGGCCGGCTTAATGGTAATCAAGTCTATTTTCAATTCAATGCAGACACTATTTTACCCTTACGAATATGATTTGTTATTTCGATAGACAATGTCTGCCTTTAGTATTTATATCTGTATAATTAGGGACTGTCGGTGGTAGCGAAACTCAGAAAGACTTTAACAATATTGGCAGCAGCTAGTCAAAAGGTTTGACAGATGGCAATAATATTAATCCACCATTCAGACATCAAGGTATACATAGTGCCAAGACAACAACAGTTTGACTTCCAGATACTATCCACTTAAAAACTAAGTCTATGTATAATAGTGCGCTTAGATATCTCACAGGCTAATCAATCAGGATTTTGGAATCCCAATTCGACATCATTCTTTTCAATCTCCTCTCTAAGTATTCCCCTGTCTTCAAGTGCCGGATTCGGATGAACTGATATGCCGCTGTCAAACAGCGAACTAGCCCTTTCTGTTGAACTCTGAATCTTTTAATTTAGGACTTTGGGATATTGTTTGCAGATCTCAAGTAAGAGAACATGATTAATCGCTGGTGTCAGAAATCTAAAGAATTAGAATGGGGTTCTAGATTTACCATTTTTGATACTTGGCTGGTGATGTGTGTTATGGAACTCTTGATGCTGTTGTCAATATTCTGTCAGTTCTAGAACTCTTGAGAATCTGAAGTCAACGCCCATCAACATCATCACCACAAGAGTTCACGATTGCCTCATCGTCGATAGTCTATCTCGGATCTCTATATCCTAGGAGTGCAGATTGAATCTTGATTCGACTTGCAATATCAATACATATCTGTTCAGCAATTCAAGACAGTTTTTGATCTCGTTGTTGGAAAGAGGAATTGAATTATGAGAGGGTATATTCTTCTAGAGTGAAGTTGAAATTTCCTTGCTGTTTTCCTCACTCATCATTATAATTCTGATGAACTTCCCTCTGTGAACCATTATATTATACATAATATCAGATAGGCATCAACTCATATCACTATCTGACGAATCCAATCAATGACCAAGTCACGTACAGAAGGTCAACTCAAGATCTCCAGCCGCGAAATCGATCCTACGGGTACTCCCCAGCACCCTTCCAAGTTCACCCCATCACTAGTCCAAGGACTAAATATCTAGCTCATACAGCAACCCCGCGATGGCTACTTGCACACTCACTCCCAAGACAATAGTGCCGCTAACATACTAGTCTGTCCATCTTAGTCTGATTCTTGCGTCATATGCTGTCAAACCAAACTCAACAACACTATATTAGTAAAGTTTCTTTTTAGCCATCAAAATCCATATATAAACTATCAAACCAACCCTCCGCAAACTCAAAAGCGCCAAGTTTGCTAACTCCACCCTCCCAAGAAAACATAGTGCACACTAGCACAACAACCACTTCAATCTACAATCTCCCTAACGACTGGCGCCTAAACCTTTCATCATATTTTACTACAACCCCACAAAGCAATAACACACTATAAAATTCCCAAAGTGAACACTAAACACTACTCCCAACCATCCCTTACCCCCCTAGCTCGCCCCAAGTAAATGTCGCACGTAACCATCTCGACCCCGCGATCAGCCCCCCTCACAGTATGCTAACCCACAAAATCACAGATCCACATATAAGGCCAACCTATCGCCTAACATCCCAACTTCAACTTCAAGCTCAACTTCCACGCCCCCACCCCCAATCCTTATCTTCCATCCAACCAACATGAAGTAAAAATAGTGCATGCATATCTTAACTCAACATCTGTGACTTAAACCCTCTTCGCCTAGAAACCTCGAAATGGATTCTGCCAGTCTAAGAGCGACCCCTAAGTGCATGAAAACCGATCTCTCATACATCATGCATCATACAATATATACCTATTCAGGCTAGCTAGCACCTTCCTCTCACCTCGCCTCCCGTAACCACATCACATCACTTCGCTTCGCTTCACCAAGCGGTCGCGTATCTATATATTATTAGTAAACGAGCGAATCGTACGTACACTACTATACTACTAAACTACTTATTTCACCCACTCTACCCACCTACCTCTATGCATCTACACTCAGCATACTCCCCATCCATCCTCTGCCGAGTCTGTCTTCCAAGAACTCATCAAACATCAAGCTTTGCCTAGCCCTGAGTCAAATCCAAATAAATCTTGAAATTATTCTGATATCCTAGCGAAGAAGGAAACTCACCCGATCTATCGAGACTAAAGTTGTGATATCATTGATATCACATATAGAATGAATAGCTAAATCGAAACCGAGCTGGTGGAATAGGTCATGACATGAAAATCTTCATCACGACATTGCACATTAGAATGACCACATAGCATAGCATCATAAAAACAAAAAGTGATTTTAATATGTAAAAGTCCATTGATCTTTGAAATCTATTTACTGGTCCAGCACCATTTATCTGCCTACCAATCCCCCAACGCAAAAGATTTATGAATGCATAACAGAGAAACCTAAAGAAAAGAATGAATTCAAGGATCTAAAGTATCATGAATAGTACTGCTGCAGACAGTACTAAACTTATTCATCTGCCTCGTGTGTTCAGTAAATCATATTGATCCTCAACTGAAGTGGCCGCATGAAATAATGAAGTGAAAAAAGAAAGTATGATCAGAGGTCCATGAACACCGCCAGTCATTAACACATTATCCCCCGGCAATTTATTTCCCATCTCCAAACGCCAATGTGAACCAACGGATGAAAGACACAAATAAATTACCCCCATATAATGAATTATATGTAGTGCTTAGCCATTGGATCATTGTCATGCTTGGTCAACTTGGGCATGATGTTGTCCGCAAAGAAAATTGACGCCAGAATTATGTAAATATGTTCGCCATATATGTTTGAGGCGGCCTCAATGCATTGTAATAAAAGGGATAGAATTGCGGTCGGGATTAAAGAGGGCTTTGAATAGCACAATTGGTCTTGGTTCCAGTAAGAAGGATCGTCAAGACTAACAAATGAATTTCGCTATTCTCAATAGTAACGCTATTGCGCAACCATTGACTCCCTCAGATTACTTGGCGGTGGTTGTTTGTGACGTCGACCAAGTAGAGTTGCTCCATCGAGATTGAGTTCGAAGGCGCCGTTCCTTGGTTTGATATCTCTCTTTGCAGATGCAGTTACCTGAGCACTGTGCTGCCCATAACCTTTAGCTGGGGCTGCGGATTTTGGATTCAACTTTGTATTTCGCAATGCATCACCGACTTGTGCAACATCTGACTGCCCAGATTTGGGTGCCTTTGAAGGCACTCCGTTCTCATCGTAGTTCTCCTCGTCGCTCTCATCGAAATCTTCATCATCGATGGGGTTGAGGGGGTTCAGGGCGGCAGTTCCTCTATAACCTTGCTTGAAATTCTTCTTTCGTTTGGCTTCCTCTTCTTGTCTGTGAACAGCATAACCGACGTCAAAGACTTCCCGTAAATTGACAGCACCGGGACTTCGGAAATCCATACGCCTGCCTGCTCCGGGAGACTCCAAGAGATCAGGGTTGAAGGCTCGCAAGCCACCACCCAATTGGCGTTGGCGTTCAACGGCTGGAGTAGCCAATGGTGGAGCATCAAGTGCTGCGTATGTAGGCTCCTCGGAACCCTTGATCCAGGGGTGTTGAAGGAATTGATCGATTGTATATCGTTTTTTGGGATCCACAGTTAATAAGTGTGAGACAAGGTCTTGTGCTGGCTTGGAAATTTCATCCCACCATGGCGAGAGGAATGTGTATTGACCCTTTGCAACCTTTTCAGTCAAAACCTGAATGCTTTCGTCGTAAAATGGTGGGAAACCGCAGAGCAAGGTATAAAGAACGCAACCTAATGCCCACATATCAACACTCTTGGAATATCGTTCGTCCTTGACAATCTCTGGCGCTGTATATCCTACGGTACCACATGGTGTCATGGTTTGAGTATCCCATACGATTTTACTCAAACCAAAATCGGCAATCTTGATCCTTCCAATACCACCTGATCCAACACCCTTGATAAATTCACCTTCATCTTCCTTGTCTTCATCTTCAGCAGATTTTGGTCTCGGGTTCTTGGTTGGAATGAACGGTATTGGCTCGAACAGAATGTTTTCTGGTTTGATGTCCCTGAAGAATGACGTCAGTATTTGTGCTGTTGAATGAACGACAAACGAAAAACGAAAGTGGGGGGTTGGGGAGTATCTTCACCTGTGGACGACACCTTTTTCTTCATGAAGATAGTGTAACGCTTCTGCAACTTGTCTAATAACATGTCTTGACAAGTCCTCACTAAAGTAAGTAAGGCGGACGATTTGATGGAATAATTCTCCGCCAGGTGCCAACTCTAAAACAAGATAATAATATTGCTTTGACTCGGAAAACTCGATGAGTTTTATAATGTTAGGATGATCTAGACCACGCATAATGGAAACTTCTTTAAGAATATTTTGTCTCTAGAAATGATTGTATGATGTTAGCAATTATTGAATATGATATACATGGAATGTTGTTGACAGGAGAGAGTAAAAATAATTCCGCACCTCCACGCCCTTGGGTTGCTTCTTGTTGAAGTTCGGATGAAGATGAGCATCTGCCTACCACACCACACATGTTGGCAAGGTTTCCAAAAAAAATCAAAGAGAGGATGATAATGAAAGATCTCAAAAGGTACTTACCTGATTGGAGTTCATCTCATATTTGCGGACAACTTTGATGGCCACCTCTCCAACTTGGCCTTCCAAGTCTCTGGCCTTGTAAACATTGCTGAATGCCCCATCACCCATCTTCTCGATAAGTGACCATCTTTCAAGTCCAGGATATCTTGGCAAACGGTTGCTATTCTCATTCGAGGCGGCCACTAGTCTTGCCAGTTCGTCCTGCCTCGTCGAGCTAGATTGTCCTGCCATTTGTTGTTGACCTGCTGCATGTGCAGCTTGATTTGCAGCTTGAGCTCCTCTATTTCTATTATCTTCGTTTGCCCCTGAATATGCATCACCTCCAGGAACTTGGTGTGCTTGATGAGCCATTACGGTGGGATCTGATTTAGCGTGATGTTGAGGGACAGCTGGAGCGGCAGGAGCAGCCTTTTTCGTCTCTTCGTTGCCCTTTGCACCTCCCTTGCCTGAATTTGGTATTAGCATATTGAGCGTTGAAGAAAAGAAGAAGGTGCCGTTGTCGTAGAAATTAGTAGAAAGAACGAGTGAAGTGTGAAAGGGTTGAAAAGGTTAAGCAAGACATACCCCGATGAAGGGCATTTTTAATGGCCTGTGAGATGGAAGACATTTTAGTAAGTAAATAATTCGGATAATTTGATAAACAAAATATCAAAATTGCGAGACTTTGAAGAGAAGGGGTGTGTAATCGGATTCAAATTCCTGTAACAAGTAAGGCAAGACAAGAGGGGGGAAAAGATATGAATGAAATTCAAGGATAAGCAAGGATCGGAAATTTTGGCGGCGTGATTGGTGATCAAGCAAGGGAGTATGTAACCAAAAAGTATAAATGGTGTGAATTTTTAATACTGTAGGCAGTGCTTTTAAATTGAATATGAGGGAACGGGTCGAAAGTGTTAAATGTAGGTAGGTAGAATAATAGGAAAGATGGGTGACAAGGTAGTAGAGTAAAAATTATATGCTCGTATGTCAATATCAATCAAACAGATGACTCTTTCTGGAATATTTTGAACTTTTTTTTTCGGTTGTATGAGAGATGCTCGTAAGGGATGAGGGATGAGGGATGAGGGATGAGGGATGATAAATGACGGCCGACTAGGGTAATGTACTTGGTTTGATGTACTTATGACGATGAATTGTCTTTTTTTCCCTTTGTTTTAGTGCTTTCCAATCAAATAAAATCTGTCAAGGAGGGTCTGTGGGCGACTTGATTGATTGGCTGTCTGATAAATAAAGTAACAAGCGATAGGGATTTAGGGATAAATAAAACAACAAAATCAATATGAATATGATATTATATTTATATCAGATATATGAGTGATGACGATGTCGAAGAGGCAGGTAAGACCTAGGTAGGTAGATTGGTGGATGGCCACCGGTAGATGAATTGGCAAGTTGCGCTGATGAGTGAATCCATTGAATGAATGAATACCAAGTAGGTGACTACACTACTACTACTACCTAGATAAAGATAAATCGACAGATAGATATAGCATTCATCTAGATAGGTCGGGTACCTAAGTAGATAATCGAGTTGGGTAGGTATCTGTCCCCATTGGGTATCGATCCATATAGATTTTAGACTTTATACATGTCTCTATATCAAGACGGTGTCGATCTAATGTCTATCCGGAGAAAGAAAAAGGTACCGATCATACCGGTAGATAAGTCTTGTCCGTCCGTCGAATTTGTATTTGTACGAGTGAGTACTCGTACTTCATTATTTATTTGAATTCCATCTACTCGTAGTCTCGTACCATCTAGTAGGTAGATACTTGAATCCTAGTACTGCAACATAATGATCATATCGGTCGACATGGCCAAGTGGAGACGCCGCCCTCCGTCCCTCTCCTAAGCCCCCTATCTAATAAATATCTATCGATTTTGGTTAGCTCTTGAGTCTTGATTAATAAATTTCGGTGCCAATTGACGTCATTACATACGTCATAAAAAAGCCTTCTTGCTTCAGGTCTCTTATCCCCCTCATAAATTACCATAGCAGTCCCATCCTGTATTTAATCTATTTCCCCAGTCCCACCTCAGCACTAGCTCCATATTTTCTCAACATCCCCTCCTCAACTAATTCATTGGTACGACATGGTACTCGTCCTGCCTACTCCACGAGTTAGCGGGATCAAGTTGCCATGGGTAAAGTAGATGCACTGGCTTTGCGTGAGGAGGGGTATTGGGCTGAAGATATGTAATGAATGCGGTAACAACTTACAAAAACCAAGTACTGTAACACACAGCATAATTCAAAGTGCATAGCTACATGCACCCCACAAGAAACTTGCAAAAGATCAATCAAGCTCGGAACTACCAATAAGAACAACGCAGTACAATTAGATGCAGGCATACAGCAATGACAGTATGTTCACGCACCATAAAGGGCACCTGGCTCATAGCGAGTTGCTACGACGGTTTGGATGGGTCTGATTTACGTGTGATCGCCGAGATTATCGATAAATGTTTCCAGGAATGCTAGTTCTCCTATTTGGCACAATCAGCCGATATCCCATCATAGTGAAACGCAATGTTGCTTGCCTGAGATGTAACTTGATTCTGTTCCTTGTTGATGGAGTTGTATATGAAAAGTAGATATATATTCGGCTTCTAGACGACTATGCATTGAGTCTGTAATACCACTCTAGGCCATTCTTGGCTGAAATGCTGATAATATGCGATGGGTATTGATGGGTTGTGGTGGTTGGTACGCGCGGCGACTGTAAGGAGAAGCTCTTTTTCAAAGCGAATTGAGAAAGGGGGGTTTGGCGCTTCACGGGAAGAATACAACAGCAAATAGTATATTTGAAAGATGGATAATTCGTGAGGATGTTGTGTGAACCTCTTGGATTCCGAGCTCTGAGTTTTGACTGCTGTTGAAAAAACATAATGAGCGGGAAAAATGCTCTATTTATAGAGATCAAATTGATATTATCACACAAATTTTTTCCAACCAACCTCCATTGCATTATTTGTCCTTTGTAGATAGTCCAATTCTAGATCACTTAGTGCTAGTGATGATCGCTTTTCCCCAGATCTTAGACGAAAGATAAGTCTACCCAGTATTTGAAGCTAGAATTTCGTAGATATATCTATTTTTAGTATCATTTCAAGATGCAAAAATATTCAACCAGATCAAGGATGGAATATACACACGTTCGAGGAAATATGTAGAACTGTATTCAACAGCAACCCAATCACATTTCCATCCACAAAGATTTGAAACGACGTCGCGTGTCAAGCTGGCATTTACAACTAAGGTTATGTGGGGAATTTGATAAAAGACGTCACTCAATACTTGTGAGTAGGTATACTTAGTAATTCCACAGATCATTAGCTTCGCACTAGCTCAAGTCTTAGCATCATACAATGAATATCAATTCTGGCAAATGTTTGAAAGACAGAAGATACCTAGTGGGGTAATAGCACGCTTGGAAAAATTCAATGCTCATGAGTTCGTCAAGTCTAGCGTGGCGGCGTCGAATTGACACCAGCAGATCGGTAATTAGAAACCATACCTAATGGTAGTCAGCAGCTACCTTCTGAGTCAAACTAAGCATTCTTCAGCAGATGAACAGATCTTAGTTCTCGTGCGTCAACAACGGTTATACGCTAGATTCTGACTCGGGAAATCACCAACGACGTCTAGACTCTGGACACGTAATTCACCTCGTAATCCATGACCTTCATAACTAACATTGTTATATCGAGTCAATATACACCAGTGATTATACTCTGGCTACCAGAATTGAGTTGATCGACCGATTTTCTTACATGATGTCTATTCGAAATTGGGCCATTTCAAATGGCTGACGTTCATCATGATAATGATTCGAAAAGTTTACGTATCACTAACATCAGTAACAAATATGACTTCGTGAATTATATCAAATCTCGGGTCCTCGGCTATTGTTTGACAGCCCTATACTTCCGCTTTGCCGGAATGTCGATAATCTTCAGGAAACCATCAAATTTCTATCTACGACTAGCTAGTAGCTAATCGTCTACTAAAGTTAGCCAGATACTAGCTTATCGAAAGATAGATCTAAGATCAGTAATCAAGGAGGAACGTCATACCTCTTTGAAGTATTTAAAGAGAAGATCCCCCCAGGATTTGGGATTTTGTGTGTCCCAATCTACTCTCTTTCATTTTTATTCGGTCTCTCCACCCGATTACTCAAGAGATTTTGTCCTCGACCAATGTCACTTCTCGATTGTTTATGATGCTGGATATACGCTCGAACCGGAGCCTTCTCGTTCTTGGGTCTAGCAACACCCCTGCTGGCGTCATAAAGCGAGGCGGACGTCGACAACGGGGCTGTGGAGATCTTCAGACCCTGTGGACACCTAAGACAGCCTAGAACCGGCAGCTCAATCAGTGTGGTTGTACAAGCCACAGATTTCAATGCATTCCCAGCATCTTATTGACACAGTATACACCAGAAAAGCCAAAGGAGATGACTTACAAAGAGATATTACTCCCATGAGCACCTAAATGAGAGATCAAACACTCCGAGGGGAATTCTAGCGAGATGTTACTTGCGGTATGATGTTAGTCGCACTTATAAAGCGACAAGGTTGACGCCGGTGTTGTCGTTGATCAGGAGTTTGATACCATCCACGAGAGGTGGCACGACAGGATCACAATAACTGGAAGCAACACTGGAACCAATACCGGAACCTGTTGGGAGTTGGATGACTAGGAACGCATGGCTAGAGCTCAACAGCAGAATCTTTGACGCTGCATGCATGGAGAAACCCCTTCATCAACTATAGCAATACAAATACATCCAAGACTACAACTAGTTGTTCCACCTGGCTCGTCAAGGAGGAGGGAGGGAATAGAACTCTTTGCAGAATACCGCCTCTTCACAGCTCACGACAATATACTCGAGCTTAAAGTCTTGCTACTGGAATGTCCTCGTTACCCTAAGTCCATACTTTGAGTCTTTGACTGAAGAGGTCACAGGTGATGAGCGCTATCAATCCCCATCTACCTACACACCACAACACAATGGAGTTCGAGATAGCAGCCGTGCTATTTTTGCCAGTTGACTCATTGACTACAGAAGACCCCAGCTATATTATTCGACTCTTCCACTTGGATGAAAAAACTCTCATGCATATTCACTTCTTTATTTAACCCAAAGCATGTTCATTTGCTTTACTTTACTACAATATACTAACAAGGGTGATAAGACTAGATGCTTTGAACGAACGTTTTCGTCTCGTTTACTCATGCTGAGTATTTAATCGGACTGAAATAAGAGGACAGGATAGCTTTCGTTGGAGGATATATCAGAGGAAACACTCAACAGATATTGAAGAAAAGAGACCCGTTGCTTCATTCATTCTTCCACTTGCTATACGAAAATAATGCTATACAAATTTGATATACTATTCTAGTTTTAATCTAGCAATAATTTGTTCCTCACTAAAGTAACCAGTGAACGGGAACTTACAAACATGCCACTAGGAATTATTAGTCCGCTCTTTAACATTCGCTAAAACTCCACGGATGACCTCTTCCATTGTGCATTGCCCTTATATGTTGTTCTCGCTTAAAGACTTCCTTACAATAGATTTCTATAGTATTATTCATCATAGCAATGAGAAATATTGTTCTCTATTCCACTTGCTCTGCAGGCTTTGATCTCCATGGCTCAAGGTATTCTTTACTCTCTCAATACTCTCAATACTCTGAAACCTCCAGTCTTTGATATTAGTTATTCGTTGTGATATATCCATTCGACTTTTCTTCCCCTCAGAACAATCCGAAAATTCTGTTATTATACCACCTTCGCTTTCACCCAATCTTGCGAGTGTGTTCGACACGATATTCTATCACCATAAAGCTAATTAATCATCCTTTCTCTTTGTTTCGAGTATTCCCGCATCGTCATTATCAAAACTCATCACGAACCATACCTCATCCCCATATCCTATACTTCCAACTCTTGGTCAGTACCTAGTCAAACAGTAATATAGTTCTCCACTTACTCTACGCTCAAACTCCAGACCTGGACTTAGGTTCAATCACATCGAGTATAATCATTCCCAAAGAACCATACGTTACAAAAAAAGATCAATATAATAATGCAATATTCGAAGCCGCTATGTAAATAACCCTCAATTTTGCTATTATGGAAACCTTTAGTACCTTTATCTTTTTATACTTACTGCTTGCGTATGCCTCTCCAATGCTATCATATCACCATCTCTACATCAATTTCATCACTCGTGCAGCTCCTCTTGACGAAATTACCTCCTCCGGCCACTTACATATGTAGAAAAGAGACCCTCCCACTGATTATCTCTTATATTACGAGTAAAATGGTCGCAAAGCTCGTAATCAATCCTTCTACTGATAATCTTACAAGTAATGATCTCAATTTCTAATCAAGACCTCGTATTTTCATCCTCACTCCCGTTATACTTCCCTCCCGGGGCCGCCAACCATAATTTATCCGTAAACCCTTCCACAAAAGCCCTGGGATTATTATTCACAAACATAAATTCAAAGAAGAAACCACTCTCATTCTATCTCCAATACGAGAAAGTGAAATGAATACATACACTACGCAAATTTCATTCCTGAATCCTCACAATATTTTCTCTCCTCCTCTTAAGGTTACCTCTTTGAATCCATGCACGTCTTCATACCCCCGCCTCCTCTCGCAACTCTCTCTTTTTCAACCCATAACTTCGATATTCAAACCCCAAGAACCCCCCCCCCCCCCCAAGAAAGTAACGAAAATCAAAGAATACCAAAAGAAGAATCCTTCATCCAAGCACAAAGAAAGAGCTATCGATCAAGGCCCCACAGATTCAGTAACCAGATGCTCACCCCCTGACATATATACATACACACACACTTCCACCACACACCTTCACTCACTCACCACCATTCCATCCCATCTCAAGTACTACCATGTACGTAGCATCCCGACCCATCACACATACATCCCCAACTATCCAGCTAATAAATTCAGCACCCCAGGCTACGAGACAGAATACTAACTAACCTTCACCCATTGTGAACATCTGGAAAAGAATCAAGAAGTGATCATTTTATAGATGTTCGAATATTCAACTTGAATCTACGATCTTCTTATTTTTGAACTACACTTATACTATGCTATGCAGTCCTTTTCCTTGGAATTGGATTATACACAGCTGACCTAGTCCAACATCCTTCCCTGGTCTCTCATCCCATCCCATCCCATCCCACAACATCAAAGCATCTCAAAATCATCTACCGAATAATTAGTCACATTCTACTGGTAACTCTACAAGCTCATTCATTTTATCTTCAGAACTCACATATGTGCTTAAATACTCATACCGCACACACGTTTCCCTATATCTACCTTCAATCGCATCCCCACTCTCAGCACCGGCCCCATGCTCTTCTCCAAGATTGTCCTACTTCTATATCGCTTAGTGTGTAAGAACTGATGGATAGATGAACAGGCAAGTACATCTTGGGATTCATTCTGTTATATCAATCATCAAATATAAATATAAATCAAACAAAGAGGACTGCAAGTATCGCACAATACAGAAATTGTAGCATTCCTCATCCGCCCATGAAAAGAAGATAATAATGTATGCATTGTTTCGTTAACGCGACCTCAAAAATCCTATCACCAAACCATCCTTAAGTACGACTACGCTGTGACGCGACGAAAGAATCAAAACGCCTCAGACAATCATATCATATCACTCGTAAGAACCGCGGATACTGCATTTCTTTCCATTCACCCCCTTTTCCTCTCTTTTGTCACTGATCCTCATCAGATCAACCCCGCTCTTGCTGCCTCCCCACCTCCATCGCCAAGTACTTCCTCCATTCTAGCCTTTCCCTTCCCAATACCACCTTCGCCAACTCCCATCCTCCTTGCCACATATCTCTGTGCGATAACACCCACACCCAAACTCAAGGTCTCCTCCACCCATTCTGCAACCCATTCACGGGGGTCCACTCCTCCACTCTCTATAATTTGTTGAATCTCCTCTGGTAATCCTGCATGCGCATTCTCTGATTCTGTACCAAAGAAACCGGATTTTTCTTTAGAGGGTGAAGATGTGGATGTTGGGGTTAAAGGAGCTGGAGCATCGAGCCATTGAATCCATTTAGCAGGAATGGCTTGCGTAAGTGTATGGAAAGTGATGCTATGGATTGGGTCTTGGAGATAAATAGCGAAGGATATCAATTCATCCGGTTTTGGTTTTTCGTCAACCACACCTCCTTCTGCCTCCTTTACTGGACCTCCTTGGAACAAATCTTCTGGTGCTTCATGAGTAATCGCTTGGACAGCCATGAAAATATCGCTGCTGCGGACGGGATTTGATTCGCTAAGATCTTCAGTAGCTCGCTGAGCGGCGAGTTCGAGCCCACCATGCGCATCAAAATATTCCTTCGAATAGGCTTCTGCGCTTACGCGGACGAGCTTCGTTCCTTCGATAAGTCCTTTAACGGAGCCAATATCACGATTGTCGGTTCCTACGCGCCACCAAGGTCCATCGCTCCATCCTGCATTACCTCCAGTATAACCAGCTTCTGATGCGCGACGTGCTGTGGATTCGTGACCACGTTGAATGACAAGCAGATCTCCTCCTTCAACTTGAGCCATCACACGAGAAAATGTAGAATAGATGAGAGGGTCGAGAGAGGGATATCCAATTAAATCATGGGTGATGTGGATTTGGAGTCGTTCGTGGGATGAAATAGGTGGTGCGAGAGTATGAAGAATGTTCGTAAAGGTTGGAAGAGCTCTAGATGTCAACTCACCACCTGCGATTCCAATTAGCACTTGTTCACTTGCCAGTTCATCAAGTCAAAATGTTACCAAAGCCTCTAAGAACTCCAACGTTTCCCTTAACTTGTTCTGCCCATCGTTTAGCTTCTTCATTTTGTTGTATTTCCTTCACTGCAGCTTGAGCGTGGTTGACCGCGGCACTAGCTGTCGCTGTTGCTGTTGCAAAGACGCTTCCCCATGACCATCCTCCACCTGCTGAAGGGGCTTCAGTAGCAGGCTGAGAAATTGGAGCTTTCTTTTCCGCTTCTTGAAGATCGCTACTAGTTGCGGAAGGAGTAAAACTAGTATGGAACGATCGAGTACTGTCAACAGATTTTCGAGGTAAAGCAGATTTCTCCTCGCTTGATCTGTCCTCACTTCTGCGAGAAGCTGGTGGAGGAGTCGCTGTATTTGAACGTTTCACTTGTTGAATTCGTGGTGTGTGTGGTCGACTTGGTTGTTGTGCTCCAAGGTTTTCAAGTTCCGCAAGTAAATCTTGTTCTGATTGAGAAGGTTGTTTTGTTTTATGTGATTTGGAAGGCCCCTTGGAAGAAGGTGCTTTAACTTGAACTTCATCAATGCCTTCCAAAAGTTCATTCAATTCATCATCAGTGGGAGCTGGCTTTGGTTTCTTTGAAGCCATGATTGGAAGTTGTGTATCAATTGGGAAGGGGGATCAGAGGATGAACAATTATGGGAAGTATTTGCTGATTATGGAATGATTTGAACCCGTCAGAAGAATGATATAATAAGTGATATTCACTTTGACTGTCATCTGTCTTCAAGCTCTATTTTGACGTTATTGATAAAGCAAATAAAGGAAGGTCTCAACATCAACATGATATGGGGCAAGGCTAACGTAACCTGGGATGGATCTGTGACTGGCTCCAGCCACAGTTGAGGCGTTTAAGCACCAAGCACCGAGCACCGCCATCTAACATTTTACGACAGCCGCAAACCCCAAATTGAATCGAAATAACCTTTTTAAAGCAGTAAAATGAGAATCTGACCGACTACGATACTTTTGAACAACAATAGCTTTATGTCTTAAAAATAGCATGTAGTTGATCATCGATATCTCTTGCTAATTCTCCTATAAAGTTTCTAAATCAATTTGTACCCCTTTCCTCAAAACATTTTGGTATACATTTTCTTCCGGTTGCATATAGACCTGCAAAACTCAAGTTTGAGACCTTGTGGACAAAAACTCGAAACTCTTTGGGTTGGAGCCAGCACAACACATCGTGTTGGTTTCATTTTCTTCGAATCAATTCGTTGAGAAAACTTTGGATTTCCCTTCAATATGGCGCGAACTAAAGTTCCTCCTATTGCGACTCAAGATTCTACTTCTCATATTGAGAAAGGAGTTGGTTCTTCCGAGTCTCAAGAAACTTCATCTAGTTCTTTTACATCATTTTCCTCAACCCCAACATGCCCCAATTGCAGTATTACATTTGCAGAACTATCAGATATGGTGAGTCTATCTTTACATAAATCCTTCTTACTTCATGTCAATCATTTGATGCTCATGAAATGTAGGACTTTCGTAGTCACGTGGCTGCATGCAGTCGGCCATCCACAGCGGAATCAGTGGGAACTATTACTACTTCAGGTAGTTCTCTATCACCACCTCCTACTTCACTTGAGAATGTATATGCTTCAGCAAAATATTTATCCAATAAGGATGGGCCGAGACCAGATTTGCATTTCGATTACAATGCAGCTCAAGAGCCTGCTATTGCCATCGCTGACGCTGACGCCGACGAAGAAGATTTCGATCCAGAAAATCATGATCGGATTCGACCATACATCGATCCAAATTCTGAATTCGACTACTATGATCAAGCCGAGGGTCATGAAGAGCACGATGTAGATATCAATGATCCAGATATTGGTCTCAAGTTCAAATATCCCAAGCTTCCCCCGGTGGAGCACTTCGAAAAATACCTGAAAAATCCTAGCGAAATGTCATATGATGAACTATACAAAAGAGCTGCGATTGTGAGCACAGTAAGTAACCGTCGCTGCTTGTTTTCCCCTAGTTTCCTCTCTGATATTACATTTAATATCGTGCTTTATATTGTGTGGGGTAGAAGAACAGGATTAACAATTCCAATAGACTGTTTTAGCTGCTTGGCAAAGGGAGTTTGATGCAATTGATGAGGAAATTTACGCATATGAATCCCAGGAGAAAGAACGACTTCAATTCGAAAAGGAGGCCGAGAAAGCCCTAGAAGAGGCAGACAGACTTGCCGAGCAATTGGACAGAGATGAACTGGTAGCTACTGCAAAACATTACGCAGTGGAATTGAAATCAAAGACTCCAGACTGGACAACTTTCATCAATAAGTATCATAAAGACGATGAATTTCGTCTACGTCTCGAAAGTCTTCGGGACCCACAATTCAGAGCCAAACTTCAAAGACAGGCTTTCGTTAGAGAACAAGAGAAGCAAAAGCTTAAGCAAAAGGAACTAAAAGAGTCAAATAAGCTAAAACTTCTCAACGAGCCACTGCCTGAGATTAAATTGACTAAAGAAGAGATAGAAGCCGAGAAAAGAAAAGCAGGACGTCTGATAGATCCCACAAAGTGGGATGACATGAAGCAAGCTGAGGTATACGGTTTTGAATATTCTTCCCATCCAAAACATATTGGTGCGCAACCAATTCCATCGGCCTCTAGAAAGCGTGGTGGTATGGGAGAAATAGATATGAGTGAAGGTAGAAGTGGTCGAGCTCAACGAATGGCTACGAGGAAAATGTACGATCTAAGTACACCAGAGGATGAATCAGACGGTTTACCAGCAAAACGACAACGCAAGGTTCGAGTTCTTGACGATGCTATTGGAGAGTTATCAAAGTCTCCTCGAAAACAAAGCCGAAGTCAAACCCCCATCAGAAGAACTTTTCCATCGGGGAAACCCATTGGAAGGCCACCAAAATCTTTGTCAAAGCTCAAGGATGTTCAGCTTGCATCTGGCGAAGATGAGACGATACTTGAAGATGAATCCATTAAAGACGAAGATATTTCTCGACATCTCCTGCCAGCCGAACAAGAGCAACTACAGCAATCGGCCGAATTACTTGTTAATCAAATCGCCGAAGAATTACCCGCTGAACCGGTTGTAAAAAAGAAGCATGCAGGTGGTAGGCCACGGAAGCATCCGCTTCCCGTTCCTGCTCCTGTGGCTGTTGTTGACGTTATGAACCCCGCAGAACAAAATACTACAGCAGTATCCGAGACCCCTGCGGCAATCGTACCTCCTATCAAGCCCAAGGCTAAAGTTATCAAACCAAAGAAGCAACCAGCCAAGTCAGCCAAATCCGGTGGCCGGGTCAAGAAGGAAGCTAATATCGAACCAAGTGCCGAAACTGAGGAAGAAAATGCAATCTTGCCAACAACCGAGCACGATGATGACTCGGATTCAGAAGCAACTGAGGCGATCAACTCAAGGCGCGACAGCTCATCATCGCAGTCAACTATCTCTTCTTATGGTAATCGTCAAATCAATTGTTCTTCCACCCATGAGCAGACCCTAATTCGTGAACCTCGAACAGCTACTAGAAATCGTGCAGCAGCATCCGTCGAAAAGTCAACTTCAATTCAAGAGTCCCCCAGGAAAGTTGTACGAGGAAAACGTAATAGTAGATCGAGCGAAACTCCTGTCGCCAATTCTCAATTACTAAAGGCACGGAAGCCGCGTGGAAAACAGGCAACGATTGAGGAGGATGAAGAAGCGGAGCCGTCACATGAACCAATCATCAAGAAAGAAGCGACTCCAACCGCACATCCGATAACCTCACCTTCATCGTCCCGAACTAAACGCAAGCGAACAGTTGAAATCAATTCTGACGCGCCAACAGCTCCGAGTGCTTCCCCTACCAAGAAGGCTCGTAAAGGTCGCCCTACCAAATCCTTATCAGCGCCCTCCGAGGGGTCTCTTATTATTTCGGCTTCATCGTCAAAAATCAAGATAAACAAGAGGGCTAAAGGACCTCTTGCAAGAATTCTTCCACCTCGTGAACCCAGTACTCGAGCTCGTCGGGCTCCAAAGGCTATTCGAAATACCGATGATGCCAACGAGGATGAAGAGGATGAAGATGAGTTGCAAATGCCAGCAACAGAATATGAAAGGTATCAAGCTTTGGCTGACCCAAGGAGTCCCATTACATTGGGAAAGAGAATTCGAAAAAGCGTCATTGATCTCAGAACAGCTATGGAAGGTGGTGATGATGAGGATGGCGATGACGAGTTTGAGGGGTGATTGGGCTTGAAACATCCCATCATTCTCATCATGATGGCCAGTCTCCCGGGTGATATGATTATCTGTGTTTGTGACATTCATTTTATCATTATCTTCAAGTTTCGAACCTTCACCGGAACCAATAGCCTCTTATCACAACTCACTCAAAATTGGCAAAACACCGGCAGCGTACGATTCTTGCTACCATTCCCAGCCGCAAAAGAACGATCCTCCTTTTTTATCGATGCCGTCGATCGAATCTATACGAACTAAAAAGGACCCGAAGCAATATTTTTCAAGGCCCTTTCCATGACGAACGACTGTCTTACACAACAAAAAGTACATAAATTGAACGAACCTCACGAGGTGCAACTGTTACATTTTCTTTCATTTTGACTTAGCATCGTGTATTCATCCTTGTCCATAATTAGTACACGAAAATCATTGGACATATTACACGGCGGCGCTCTTTTTGGGGTCCAGCGCAAAAATTGGATTTTTCCTTCATTTTATATAAGCGAAAACACGGTTGAAATAATTGCTTAATTATGGTCATTGTCTTACTGTTACAATGGCCGGTCGGAAGGGGTATCTGTATTTCCTAATGAATATATGAGTATGGACTCGGATATTGTGGGTGCATTTATATATGCATTGGAGGGTTCTCGGGGTTGGGATAAATGGGGGTTGTCCCTTTACACATATATCTTACGGTCTTGGAGTTTTGGTCCAGCGGCATTCAAATTTTCTCTTCTCTTTTTTTGTGCATGGATTATAGGAATGTATGGTGTCGGTGTATATTTCACGCCTGGAAATATAGAGATATAGCGTAACAAAAATGGAATAATTGAAAACTCGACCAGAGCTATGATTTATTGACAACAAGAATAAGATGATGTGTGCTTCTATATGCGTTGAAAGCTGGACTTGTATCCTGGGCCCTGGACGTGTGATTGTATTGTCGACGCACCCAAGAAGTAGGTATCTTACGAAGTCTACCACAAGTTAGAGCAATTGCACTTATACGTCCCAGTTCATGTCTAAAGGATATACAACGAAACTTCGCCAGCAGATTTACTACAGTGTAAGAGCGAAAAAGATTGGGTTAAACTTCTCACTTGAATTTAGTTCTTCCTGATGATTTGCTACTTGGTTCAGTCCCACTCAGTCGATCTCTTTATCTTCATTTTCATCTTCATCTTCAACAAGTTGAGTTGGAGAGAGATTTGTTTTATCAAATTGGGAGTCATTGAGGTGTCTGATCCACTCTCTGTATATATCTTCCAGTATTCGTAATTCGTGTTTGTTTTCCATTACCTATATCAATACCTATGTACCTATGAAATATGAAAATCGTTCATCTTCGTTATGTTTATTATGATATCCATACCCAGATCCTTGTGACCACAAGAAAATACCATTCATCATCAATTTCATATATCTCAGAGCCATCTCACGGCTCAAACCACATATTTATATCCAACAAAGCAACCATGCATTCCCACTCCCTCAATGCATAGCGAACGATTCGCCCGCGGCTCTCCTCCCACCAAACCCATCGGCCGTGGAATTCCTCACTCCAAACGCACTCGCCACGAAACCGACCCCTCCAAACGCGACGCAAAACCACAAGCCCGTGCTATACTGCTCGAGATTTCCCTTCCCCTTATCAATATCGACTGCCTGCACCACGGCGCTCGCGAGCGCCAATCCCACGCCGCTCCCAATCTGAAACGCGGTATTGATCATGCCGCCGCAGAGACTCTTGACGCTCACCGGGACGCTGCTCAGCAGGATGATCGTGCAGGAACAGTATACGATTGTGACGGCGGCGACAACGAGGAGAGAGGTGGGGAGGACGTGCGCCCAGAAGGATGTAGAGGTTGATGTGAGCAGGGCGGCGGGGATGGGTGAGGCCATCATCATGAGCATGCCGATGAGAAGTACGGATTTGGTGTTGTAGCGCTCGAGAATCTTGCCGACGGACATGGAGAATATGAAGCCGGTGGCGCCCATAGGGAGGAAATAGAGAGCCGTGGTGCCGGGGGAGAGACGGTTGATTTCTTGGGCTATGAGGACGATGTAGTAGAGGACTGTTTGGTAACCGCCGTAGCATACTTGAGAGTTTGTGTTAGTATGGAAAATTGCACTCCATGAAAGGTGGGAGTGAAGAGAAAGGAGAGAGAAAAAAGAAAAAATTCAACTCTACCAAATCCCGAAATCCACAACGCAGCAAAATTCTGTATTTTCCAAAGCGAAAGCGGCATAATCGGATGCGAAGCCCTCTTCTCCACATATACAAAAATCCCCAAAACAGCGACCGAGAGAATCAACAAAACGATGATGAAAGCTTTACTCCATCCATACACCCCTCCACTCGACAAAACAAATGAAAGCAGAATAAGTCCGCCAGTCGACAATCCCGCACCCAGCAGATCCAAGCTCGGTTTCTCCTGTCCCTCCAGCCTATCCTTCGGCAGAATAAACTGACCCAGTACTCCCAAACTCCCCGTCAACGCAGCAGAAACATAGAACAGATATCTCCACCCCAGACTCCCCGTCAAGAAGCCTCCAAAAATCAGTCCCGCGCAGAATCCCACCGCTCCCGAAGCCGCAAAGAACGATAACGCAATCGTACGATCTTTAGCCACAAAATACGACGAGATAATTCCCACCGCAGAAGGAACCGTCATCGCGGCTCCGATTCCCTGCAGCGCGCGGAAGATAGCAAGTTGAATAAACGACGTCGCGAAACCATTTGCAATTGTCCAGATGGAAATCCAAAGCATCCCAATGAAGAAAATAAGCTTTCGTCCAAATCGATCACTCAATACACCAGCCAGCAATAGGAACCCTCCAAAGGTTAATGTGTACGCACTAATCAACCATTGTAAATCACTTGCTTTGGCTCCGAATTCTTTTTGGATGGCGGGTAAACTGATGTTGACTCCAGTCATGAAAACGTTATCCATAAGCTGTGCTCCGCATGTTGTGAGAAGAATGAGGGCACCGCGTAGACTTTTCACACTGCCGATATCCGGGTATGAAGTTTCTGGCAGATTTCTCGATGGTTCCTCGACTTGCAGCTCGAAATAATCGCGTGGAGTGGCACTCCCGCTTCCATTTGCTAGTCCCTGGCCATTTCGGTGCGAATGCACACCCGGTGTATTAACTGCCGAAGAAGGAGAAGGCGGACGAGTTGAATATGGTGTATTGAATTCGCTGGGTAATTCTCTGATCGTACTGATAGGACCCGGTTTTGCAGCTTTGGGAAAAGAAATTGTGGTATTATCCTTTTCTTTCCCAGAATCGCCCTCTCTCGAAGATTCCCCATGCGCTTCAAGATACGCATCCTGATGACCACTGATAACACTGGCTGTCCTTGTCAAACTCTCCAGATCCTCCGCGCGCATACTATCGCGAAAAGCTAAACGTCCAGATACATTTGAGCGGCGACGAGGTTGTGATGCAATTCCTACACCGTGCGGATCTTCATATTGGGAGTTCCTTCGTTCGGGAACCGGAAGTGTGTTATGTTGGCTGGTGGATGCTTCGCCATTTGAAGCTGATATTGTGAAGACTATTAGCTCTGGAATTTTCTTGAAGGACTACAGAGATTTCTGCGTTGGTGAGGATGAAGTAGAACTTACGAGACATGGCTGGGGAAAAAACAACACCAAACTGTTGATTGATATCAAATTGACTGCGAAAGAAAGAAGTTCAAAGTTATAACGAGCACTTGGCCCTCGAAGATAAAGACAAAGATAAGTTGGGCAACAGCTCATACAATTCATCCATTTCATGTAGCAACGCACAACCCCATAATTTTGAAAAAATCAACATCATCGATAAGCCTGAAAATTCCCCGCCGAATAAGTTATGGGTACAATCACACCTTATCGACCATGAAGGGTCTTTTTTCTCCTCAATTTTTTCTGCCTAGGAAAGTTTTCCGATAGCTATCCCTGTTTCTATCAAGAACCTAGCGGACCAGCGAGTCAAGACATATGCGAGGGCTCCACATAGAAAGACAACGCGAGAACGCCTAAAATCATAGTGGGGATTTTCTACTTCACTTGATGATTTTTCTTCAAAGCTTGCATTTGCATGTGATATGGTCTGGTAATATATTAACCAGCGAGCCAGCCACTTAAAAATACATATTCTCGGAGATGATGACTACATAACAAAACGGGAAGGTATTTGCCCGCATATCCAATGTACCGAAGTGTTTGATAGCCCTTGAACTATCTGTATTCGGTTCGGTTCGGATGCCAATCTCGATGAGGGGTTCAAGCTTGCGCTTGCAGCCTTATACGTTTGCAGATCTTTCAAGGACATGCTTCAGGGCCCGCCACTACAATACAAAGAGACGGCCCAAATCCAATCCAGTCCAGTCCATACTTTCATTGCCTTTCACAAATGACAGATTTGATTCAAAAGAAAGAGGAGAGTTCTGGTACAAGGAGGATCAAAGTTTAAGAAATTATTCCAATTCTAGCGGATGTGAAATTGAACGTCTCCAACTCTTATAGTGAGATTTATTCAACTAATCATACTCAATGATATACAGCTCCTTGCGCCACCATTATATTTTCGGTCAAATACTCCGTCCTGTACAATACTTTCCCACATCTGGGAGGGGAATAGAACGCCAAATCAAATCCCGACTATATGCAAATGTCCTAGCTTTGGCGCGCCATGTTATCCATATACTGTTGCTTCTTCCCGTAATCATCTAATCCAGAACTCCGTCGCCTTTCAATTCAATGGTCCATATTTTGGTGGAACTATTGAAGAATATCATATGATGTAATGAAGAAATAGTAGCGAAGAAGTAAAATCGCTTAGCGAATTTAAAGAAGTGAAAATAAAAGGTGGTAAACTATTATTCTATAGATCCGTGAAGATTGGCTCTTCGTAGTGCCAGGAATCACGAAATCTTTCGATGGAGCTCGAATGCCGTGAAGTGACAGGCTGTATCGACCGTTTGGAAAGATAAAATGGTTAGGAGACCGGCGCGGAATCTTCGGTTTTCTTAACTTCTCCCTTCATCTTCTCCTCGTTTTTCTGTCTCGCATCGGCGGCTTTTTGTTCGTCCTGTTTACGTTTGTCTTCAGCTTTTTGTACTTGATTGGCCTTTTTCTCGGCTGCAGTAAATATCTTATTCTCTGCGGCTCGCTGAGCTGGCGAAGGTTCGGATGCATCATGGGATTGTGATTTTGGCTGTTCTTCTTTGATCGGTTGTTTACTTACGGATGGTGTGTCATCTTGTTGAGCTTCCTGTGCGGCCTTTTGCTTCGCTTTTTCCTTAGCTTCCTCTGTAGCTTTTTGTGCTTCTGCTAACTTCTTGGCTTCCTTCAACTTCTTGGCCTCTTCTAGTTTCTTTGCATTTTCAGCGGCTTGCTTCGCCTCCTCTGCTCTTTGCGCATCCGTCTTTGGTGGTGGCTGGGCTGCCTTTTGTGGTTCCATTGGCACTTGAATATCTTGCTTCACGGGGATCCATTCCATTTTATCATCGTCGAAGTGGTGGCTTAGGGTTAAGTTAGCAGAGATATTCCAGGGTTAAAATCGTGATTCCGTCAAACATACCCTTCAAATTCAGTCAAGGTCAATGACTTTTCATGATATTCTGCCTCCAAAATTTCTTTGTAGGCGAAAGGAATCTTGGCTGGAGCTCCCTCGAAGAAGGTGTCTCGTAATGGAAAGATGTAGGTATCCTATGATTATTAGCGCAATCCAGCTCGCCGTGTTCCCAAAAGAATTACCCTATATTCATGACCATCCTTGCAGCTCATCATTCCCTCCCCGGCAGGATGTGTATAATTATATCTGGCAGTTGTGATGTCAATGAACAAGCCACTCGTAGTATCGACCCATCGTGCATCAATGACATTCAAGTTGTCCGATTGCTCCCTGTTAATATAATGAGGGTTGACCTCTAGCATATAATCTCGGCCTTCCGGAATGCGCGGAGTTTTGTAGTGGAAAACAGTCATATTGTAGTAAGAGGCGAGAAAGTGCATCGAAGCTTCGGAAACTTGGACATCGGAGTCGGAATCCCATGGTAGAATCTAAAAATTTGTGAGATTTGTGAAGAAATCGGAATGTTTGCAGAGTCGTTCCTACCTTACGATTCCACCACCAGCCGAGTAAAGTACCATGCATGAGCCATGTTTCCACTCCAATATCTGAAAAAGTAGCTAGGTAGGTTTGAATGAGATTCGAAAGTGCTTGTCTGCGTTCTCTGTAGCCCAATTGCTTGTCGGCAAATCTATACGGATAATGTTAGGTCCCGTCATTGTGTATTGTAGCAAGAATCTACCCATAGAAATTACATACCGGCCATCGTAATGCGGATGGAAGCTATTAACCTCGCCATGTTAGCATTGAATTCCAAATTTACTTCGAAAACGCTTGGTTCTCGAGTTTTCATTGAATGGTAAAAATACGTACACACTCTCATCTGTTAGGAATAATTCCGTTAGCTGGGTTTCAACTAAACATAAACTCTAATGCTCATGGACCGGACAATTCGAACAGGACCGTAGTCGCAGGTTCCGCCACAACAAACTCTCTTTAGGAAGAAAACAAGAACTTACGAAAATATTTCCCGCTTGGATCACCTCTCCTTCCGCTCATGTCCTTGTGTAACTTTGTGCGCACACTGTAAAAGTCGGCATCTCGTTTTTGAATTGCCAGCGCCGACACAATGGACAAAAGTCCGGGTAAAGTGATGATCCACGAAATGCGCATTGTCGATTATCGCGATATGGTGATCAGCTTACAGAAAGCAATTTCGACAGGGTTGAACAACCGTCTTGGCGCGGCTTTTGTAAATTGCGGACGTGGGATGAAAGGATGTGCCAAGAGATGGATGATCGACTTCTCAATTGTGTAGGTATAGAATGAAGCTGCTGTTGTATGTCAAGCAAAGAGGTACAAGAGAGAGAGGGGGGGAAAGATGAAGAGAGATAGAGAGAGATAGAGAGTACCAATGCAATATGTGGAAAATGTAAAGATTGAAATGCAATGGAGAATGAAGTGAAATAGTCTTGATTCAAGGAAAATAAAAAAGGGACGTGGGGAAGCACACGATCAAGTACTCCTTTGGTACTCGTCACCCAAGACAAGGGATATATTCCAAGAAGCAATTGAGTGGAGACGGATCTTACTAGCTTTCTATAAAATGTGATCAAGCAAACAGCTTCCAGGTTACGGGAGTTATGAATGTTAAGATATTGAGAAATTAAGGCGGCGTGAGGAGGAAGCATGTATTTTTATTCAATTCGCCGCTTAGGAAGAATTAAAGTAAAGGGAAAGAAAAATATTGAGTGATTATTGGATGAATCGGAAAGTCGTCGTGGGTTCAAGCATCAGCCTCCCAAATAATGCTCCAAGATTGTATTTACTATTTACTGCACAGTACCTAGCTACCATTATCATCATTATTAGTAGATGAGGGATTTGTGGGATATGAGAAGCTGGCATCAATTATTAGCGCTTGCTTCTGTTTGAAGTGAAAAGGTTAAATCAAAATCTAGGAGCAGCAAAAGTCCTGTGCCTGATCGATTCTATCCATCTCAACTTTTCAGATACCTAGTAGGTCGTCAGACGGTGGTCAGTCAAAACAACTAATAATACTCAGTAGCTCAATGAAGATACGACAAGTCCCTATTTTATTCGTCTATTTATCTAATTTACAATATGTTGTCACTAACTACCTACGTAGTTCAATGTCATTCCTGGATTATTACATCGCAGCATCCATTTGGCTGGGATTCGACCTCAATACCTCGCAATGCAGTACCCAGAGAAAAAAGCTCAATTGGTTTTGGTGCGTAAGCAGCATGCGGTTTGCTACACATGGATTACGACGCTTTGGACCTAACTTTAATTCTCCTGCTCACATCTCTCTTTTTGAATTCCCAGAGGTTTCAGATTGATCTAGGGTGAGCATGGTTAGAATGGCGTGGTATATCGTCAATTTTATTGGCATACCAAGATAATGTATTTTGTCTATGGCGTGAGAGACGGAGAAAGAATGCAAGGCGAGGAAAAAAGAATGTTAATCATTACTGAAAAGAGTTCATACCTGGGGAAGAGCTGGGTGGATGCATCCGGTATCCGTGAAATCAACAAGGTTGAGCTCGATTAGCCGCCATCTGATGATGTTGACATGTCGGCGCTGTACTTTCAAGCCTGCAATGATAAAACCAAGACTGTCACAGAAGAGAGTTGGTTGATTGGGATATTTGCTGTGTACCATACGACTGACCCCCCTCAGCCCCTAGATCAAGGAATCCGAAGCTATTTTCATCTACCGTTTTCTTTCTCTCCCACCAAGTGCTTGGGTAAACGGGAGTTCGTCCCAGAAAGAGACACCACCAATAAATCCACATCCCTCTCCTCGAGTCGTGTGCTCAATTACCCCTTGCTAGGCCGCGTCAGCTAGAAGAAAAAGAATAAGCCAGGGAAAGCCACAAAGTTAAGCTTTTAGGCGCATCTTGGTAAAGCTTACATACGCCTTCTTTCCTAAGCCTTGCACCAATGATCTGATTCAAGGATCTTTCAATGTCTACTGTGTAGATTTTACAATGCATTTGTCCGGTTCTTGTTTGCTCAATCGCATACCGACAGATCTCATGGTCTGACAACATCACAAACAATACGACTTAGCAATCCAATCAATATCGCCAACGATAAATGAATAGGAGTAATTGGAAGGATGACAACGAAAGGCACAGGAAAATATGACATTAGCTTCAAATTTCGGCTTAGAAGGGAAGCAGCACTCGGAAACCTCGGTGCTTCGTCCTTACGAACGTCTTCATATTCCCGTCTCCCGATATTAATAGCAGCAATGGGCTTCTAGGGGCTAGAAGCAGAACCACAGAAATTAAGGCATACTTGCTCGGACTCAAAAAGTAGCTTTGAAAGCCGTTTCGGTGTGGAAAACGACCAAATATGAGATGAGAATAATTGCCACTTTCAATTATTGATCGAATAGCTACTAAGCATCAGTTAATAAGCATCAACTAACAACTCAGATGAACGAACTCCTGTCTTTCTGATCGCGAAGATAAATCGGGTCCATTCTCTTCTCCGTTCTAGACTTTCAAAGCATAATGTCTACGCGCTTAATCTACAACTCGTGGAAGCTTATATCTTAAAATAACCTTAGTGGGTCATTAGAATTATGCTTCAATGTTCGGATCCGATTATACCGTGGATTGATCTTCCTCAAATCTCTTTAGAATTGATTTGGATCCGGCTGCACTTTGTCTGATTTTGAAACCCGGCGTGGATTGATGACGCATCATTCATGATAGTGCCGCGTGATTGTATCGATAGACCACATACAAAATGAAATGCTGGGTGTCTACTCTGAAGCTGATCCGGTAATGTGGCAACAATGAATTCATATTTATGCAGGAATTGTTATATGATACAGCCCCGCAAAATCCTTGCTTGGTTTTGTGTTTTTTTGCGGAACATATATAGATATTGGTTTCCTTATGTACGTCACTTCTGGACTCCTGTCACAATACTTTTTGTACTTGCTTTGCGTTCTCTAAATTTCGAGTAGTTTCGCGATAATTTACCTTGCGTTCATAGGTTTTGGTCTATAATTTCATGTGGTTTAGACAAGTGCGTCTATCTTCCTATCAGCATATACTTACTTCAGTATTAATTTCTTCGCTTTTGATTTCCTTTGCAATGGAAGTACCGCAAATTAACTTGGAGTTCAATCATTCAATGATAAACAAGATTCACAACGTTTGCATTTGATATTGCCGATTTCACTCTTCTCATCCTGTCCCGTGCCATAGCCATTTTTGCTACAGCGTTGTGGTATGCCTTCTGTGTGGATGTACCTCGATGACGGGAGATAGCGATAACGCAGAGGCAATCAGACGAAGACGACGTCGCTGGTGAATTGTGGGAGACGAAGCAAGTGATTCGTTTGTTCATTGCCCAATCCAAATTTCTGCTGGTCCATCATGATAATGAAGTCTGTCTTCATGTTTGTGGCGAAAAGCGAAAATTGTGACCAGATCAAAAATCGTGTTCTCAGAACGCCCGCTCTACTTTTCTTTCAATTCCGACTTTCATTCGAAGTTCAAGATCCCAAGTAAGTATTTCGATCAAGCGTATGTTTGAAAGCGGTTTGCTTGTGGCCTGGAGTTGCCAGTCCGTAGCGCTTATGATTCATTGTTGAGTGTTTGCGAGCTTTTGAGTAATAGGGATATCACAAACATGGACGACATCGTTGAAATGATTCCGGTGGAAAAGGAAAATAAAGAACGGAAGATAAACTGATGATGGCGAGGATGATACTTACATACATCCCCAACACAATATGTGACGAAGTATGATAAATCCTCACCCATCTCAACCGATCTATAAATAAAAAGAGGTAGTCAATCTCGCCACACTCGTAGAACCTCCCGTGTCTGCCTTTTCACTTTCACCTTCATGCCAGTCAATAATTTCTCGTTTCAACACCTTGCTATAATATTCTGCGCTACCGGATGTCGAAAGGTCAAGCACAGCCTGCTGTCAGAGGGGGTGATCATCAAGTGTCGCTGACGATACTCGAGAAGAATAGGAGTTTGGCCCATGGCCAGGGTGATGAAATACAGTGATGGCAATATTGACGCCTCCCATGGAACGAGTGCATACACACAATGTTGCTCCCAGGTGACTTGCAGAGAATTTTTGGCCAATTTGAGATTTTCACGCAGCCAGAATAAGTTTTCCAGATACCTCTCTGGGAAACTGGTGTAGCCAGGGTAACTCTTGACTTCAGAATCAGTCTCATAGGTGTCAAGAATGGTTTAATCGCCACAGAATTCTAGATCATGCTAAGAATGACAGTGGGACAATTCTTCTACCTTTCGATCGTGAAACATTCTTGCTAGTGAGCGTGAAACTGAGTCTTGGGAGTCCAGCCATGGAGAAAGATCTGCAATTGACGATATAAAATACTGCAAATAGGGTCCAGTAAATAAATAATAAGCAAGTATCGATAGAGAGTGGCCTTTTAACACAGACAGAACGAAACAGCCAATAATTAGACAATTTGTGCATCTTCCACTCAACATTCAAGAGCGAAAGAAATTACAATCATGTCTCGAAGATCTTCATCATTTTGCTGCTTGAAAGTTGTGATTTGCAGGTATTCTTTAGAACCGCCTGTTGTTCAAAGATACCATTCATCACGAAACGAGGTTCGTCTCGATCATCTGCATCCTGATGCGAGTGCGAGACAGCGAATACGACACAGTCTTTTCCCATCCTTGCCACTACCTACAGTGCAGACAAGTCGGATTTTTGGACATCTCGGGTATTCCCCGGATAGAATTTGACCCCATTGTTTTTGTGGCTTATCATTTGTAATTGGATGAGAGTAATTGGCAAGCTGGGAACATGTATCTCGTTTTATGATTCCTAGACACAGTTGCTAGGCAAAGGTGCAGAGCAAAATGATTCCTTCTATCTTTGGCCAATAATGGCAGATTCTCTAAAGGAAGATATCGCATCGTCCATTTAAGAATAAATCCCCTAAGTGGTGCCAAAGTTATATGACAACAGAAACCTGACTTGAAACTTCAAAATCCTGCTGGAAATTTGAACTACATTGAAGAACAAAAATGGCTCCTACCATATCAACAGAAGGAGAAAGTATCATTGGGAAATTCTCCCATTTATTACTTTTCGCTGGAATTATAGTAGGTTAAACAGATCGTCTTGTCTGTATTGATGGCTAATACTTGAACAGACTACCTGTTACATCACATATAAAGTGATATATAATCTTTATTTTCATCCACTTGCAAAATTCCCTGGCCCAAGGCTAGCTGCAATAACAGATGGCTGGATGTGTTGGCATAAGTAAAATTCACAGTTTCTGTCGTTCCACGCTCAAAACTAATGAAATGCAGTACTTCTGGAAGTTACCACAAGACTATGATCAGCTTGCATCAAAAGTATGGTCCAGTTGTTAGATTTGCACCAAATGATTTGTTAGTGTACCAGATTTACATGTCAAAATGACACTTTACTAATTCGTGAACAGAGACTTCGCATCTCCTCAAGCAAATCAAGAAATTCATGGTCATGTCAAGCAAGGAAAAGCCCTGTTTCTCAAAGGGCAAGCCTATAATACTGGTTCGGAAACCAACGTTGGCATTGTTTCAGCAAGAGATCCGGCTGTTCATCGAGAAATCCGAAAATCTCTTTCTCATGCATTTAGTGCTAAAGCGCTTCGGCTACAAGAGGAAGTGGTGATACAGTATATGGACTTGTTCGTTTCTCAAATACATCAACGTAAGGACGATGAGAAGGGGCTGAACTTGTCAGAAGTAAGTTAGAACAGTCTTGTCTGTTAATCACCACTAACAGAACGCAGTGGTATAATTGGTTAACTTTTGATATCATTGGTGATCTCGCGTTTGGGGAGTCATTTGATGCAGTCAAATCTGGAGAAGGCCATCCGTGGATCAGTCTCATTCTCAGCACCGTCCATTTGATGGCTATCATGGAAATCTTTCGACGCTTCCCATTTTTCATGAACTCATTTTACAAAAAGATTGCAACAGTTTTCATGCCTAAAGGCTTGAAAAAAAAGAGCAAGGTACATTTCCAAAATTCAATGCAAAAAGCAACTCAACGGATGGAACGAGGAAACAATGACCGAGACGATTTCTTCTCGCATCTATTACGCGAAAAAGAAAATGGACCAAAGATTACTCGCGAATTCATTCTAGCGCAATCTAATACACTTATTGTAGCCGGCTCGGAAACCACCGCCACCTTCCTTATAGGAGTAGCGTACTATCTTCTTAACAGGCCCGAAACACTACGACGTCTTCAAGAAGAGATCCGCAATGCATTCACATGTTCGGAATATATCACAAGCGATTCCACAGCAGCCCTTCCATATCTTGCTGCTGTAATTGAAGAAGGTCTTCGCATCTACCCACCTGTACCAATGGGTCTCCCACGTGAGTGTCCAGGCGCTATGATCGATGGCCACTATGTTCCAAAAGGCGCAGTTGTCTACGTCTCTGGCTACGTTGCTACCCATAACGAAGAATATTTCGCCGACGCCAACGAATTCCATCCTGAGAGATATCTACCTTCTTCCCACCCATTCTATGATCTTCGATATCAAAATGATAACAAAGATGCGAGTAAACCCTTTTCTATGGGTCCCAGAGCATGTCTGGGGGTCAATCTGGCGTATATGGAAATGCGGGTTGTTTTGGCGAGATTAGCGTGGGAATTCGATTGGGAATTGAAAAGCAAGGAATTAAATTGGGAAAGGGATTCGAAATTGGTGGTGCTTTGGAAAAAACCAGAGCTCAGGGTTGGGTTTACCCCGGTAAAGAGATGACCTGGGAAGGTGTTATCTAGAGGCGTTTTGTCTTCTTTCTTTCTTTTTCTTGTACAGATACAATTCTCGTGGCAACAGTCCATAACCCTGGGGAATTTGGATAATAAGAGGGTGAATACAGATTATACTTTCTCCTGCAGCGTTCCGTCCCGAGTACCGAATCCGAGAACGAATTGAGATAACCAGAGGGAGATAGTTAGGTGCTTGCCGTCTTTGAGAACTTGGTGCTGGAAGCCATGAACTAGATATGTACGTATACATGTATACAAGCTGCTGGAAGTACGAGAACGTGTTTCGGGTTGCAAGGACAACAGGACAGTTTGGATGGAAGGTACATGAAAGTTCATTGAGGGACGATGTGTTGTTTGAATTGTGAAATTACAATTTGTGGAAGTGGCTTTATATTGGTCATGAGATGTGTTTCTTGATGAAGATATTTCAAGAAGGGTGGTTGGTGTTATGTTAGGAACATTAGATTGTCTGATAAACATCTCCAGAAACACAAACACGGCATGGAGACTGAGTAGTACAATCTAGTGTAATGGGATAATATATACATTCAATTTGTATGTGAGAATATACCTCATCCGCAAAATAGGAGCTCATCTTCAAGTCTACAACCACAGCTCATGGGGTGCTGCACATATTCGCCCTCTCATCTCACCCTGTTTGTGAGAGACGAAGAAATGATGGGACGAAATTGATGAACAGAGAAATATACGAGCACAGAGTGAGATGAGAGACCATGCAAGAGCATAAATCTATGCACTTCTACTACTCAATCCTTCTATAATTATCAGATCAAATATTCTTGCAGATATTCTCGCAAACACTTTCCAAACCACAAGTCAAAAAGAATCATCCCCGCAGCTTCGGATAAGATAGAGAGATTCCGAGACATCCCTGCCACCGATAAGCATAATTGCCCCACGCAGCTTACCGTTAGGACATTAATAATTCATGAAAATTTCAAGGGACGAAGCTAGAGCGGAGTACGCCTTTCCAATCAATTCTGGACCTTCCAAAAGAGTCATACAAATGAATAATATGATACCACATTCTTTTGACTTTTCTTTCGTTGTTTAGTTCTTCAAAAGTCCTTTTCGTTTCAATCTTGTAAGACACGAACGAACTTCTGCTGTTGTTGCTTCAATTTGTGTTCAACGGGTCTGTCTTACGGTCTCACGGTCTTATTGTTTAATGTTTTAATATGAAGTGTATGAGTTTGAGTTGCACAATATACATATAGAAAGGTAGGTCAAAACCGTTTTCCATGGATACTCTGGCGATCTGGGCCCAATTGGATGGATGTAGTGGATGGGGAATTCTAAATGAGGGTGTTACGAGATTGGTGTATCGATGGATCCAATGCTCCTCTCACGTATATGCTCTTCCTATATTATCTCTTTGCTTCCAACTGGGGTCTCTGTTCCTTCCACTCTTGCGTTATAAACCCGCGAAAGCAAAGGCAATAGAGGCGATCGCTAATTCGACAACCGCAACAATAGAATGACACCAAACGAGCAGATAGCTTCCTCGGATCCCTCCCACGATGTAGAGAAAGGTCCCTCAAGCGGACTCCCATCCCCTCACGACCCTCTCGCTCTTTCGCCCTCGATATCTCCCACGCGCGATATTACAGATCCTGCGATCTCTCGTCCTCAAAATCGTTTCTTTACTCTCACTGCACGAATTGAAAATCTTCTTGGTCTGGAAGCGCGGGGTATTCACCGTGTACTGCCCGCAGAACAAACCACCAAATCTACTCTATCTTTCCTACAGATTGTCGTGCTATGGTTTTCGATCAATACCGCGCCGCAAAATATTACTTTAGCGGGCATTGGGGCTAGTGTTTATGGGTTGGGCTTTTTGGATGCGACACTTTGTAGTGTTTTTGGGGCAGTGGTAGGAATTTTACCGGTGGCATATACGGCAGGTTGGGGACCTTGGAGTGGAAATAGAACTATGGTAGGTGGCTCCTTTATTGCGATTGATGTTCTTGTGTCTTGTGGATTGTTAAAGTTTTAAATGTGGCCATTAATTTTGCTACTGACATTGAGGTCTTTCGGCCCCTGAGGTGAAAATTGACTAACCGAGTATTTAGATATGCGCTCGATTCACAATGGGATGGTGGCCAGTAAAGATCTGTGTGATACTGAATGTGGTAATCTTATTAGGATATTCTATGATTGATGCAGTAGTAGCTGGTCAAATGTTATCTGCTGTATCACCAAATGGTAGCCTTTCAGTGGAAGTTGGAATAGTCGTTTCAGCTATCTTAACATTCTCGGTCACAACATTCGGCATCAAGATATTTCATCACTACGAGAGATTTGCCTGGATTCCTCAAACATTCGTTCTCCTGATTTTAGCAGGAACTGCAGGACCTAAATTTGACCTGCATAGTAAACCTACAGTTGAAGGCGCAACGCTTGCGGGGAACCGAATTTCATTCTTTTCGATTTGTCTTAGCGCCGCAGTCACATATGCTCCTATAGCAGCCGATTTCTTCGTCTACTGCGATCCAAAAATCGCATCTCGTTGGAAAGTTTTCGCGGCAACTCTACTCGGTCTTTCTCTCTCCTTCACACTCACTTTTGTCATAGGAGCCGGTCTCTCATCTGGTATCGCCAATAACCCTTCTTGGGAAGCGGCAGGTGCAGGTACAGGTGCTCTTATAGTAGCTGGGTTTGAAAGTCTGGGGGGATTTGGCAAATTTTGCTCCGTGATTGCTGCGTTGGGCTTAATCGCCAATATGGTACCGCCTACCTATTCTTGTGGTATTGATTTCCAAATTCTAGGCCGTTATCCGGCCATGGTTCCGAGATTCTTGTGGAATACATTTGGAGTGGTAGTATTTACCGTCTGCGCACTTGCAGGACGTAATGATCTTTCTGAGATCTTTACCAATTTCCTATCCTTGATGGGATATTGGGTTGTACTTTGGATTGTCATTACCTTGGAAGAAGAATTCATATTTAGACGTCGTAGAAATCCTACGTTTGTATGGAGTGACTGGCATAAACAAGAAAAAATGCCGCTGGGAATTGCGGCATTGGTGGCGTTTTGTATAGGATGGATTGGGGCAATTTTGTGTATGAGTCAATATTACTTTATCGGACCGCTTGCGAAGATGGTAGGAAGTGAGGGGGGTGATATGGGCAACTACGTTGGGTTTGCCTGGGCTGGGTTGGTGTACCCCGTGTTGAGATGGTGGGAGCTGAGGAAGTTCGGTAGATAGAGAGACCTTGGAAGAAGAGGGCTGAAGGACGGGCTAGATGTAGATGAACGGAATAGTTACGAAAATTATGATATATGGAAAAGTTATGGATGGAAAAGGGATACGAACACTATAGTAACGGCTTTAAAAGATTTATATACATGGGAATACGTTTTAGACAGACATATCATTGGATACGGAAAATCAAATTCTATTCGACACATGTTGCAGAATAAATGAATCTTCTGGAATACTTGAGGAATGAATCATGTTTCTTGTCAAACTAATTGATCTGAACTTTATCCCGATCGTCAGATCGTCAGATCTTCAGGGGACTTCTCCGCTATTAACGGTGTGAAGATACTTACCACGTCCTATCATCTCATGCTCGGAGCGGCAATGATGGGGAAGGTGAAACAGTCGAGTGAAATGGACACGTGGAGATTGTTTTTCGGACATGGGGATTTGGATTTGGATTTGGATTTGGATGGAGAATTGAAGAGGGGATAGTACAATGTATGCATGCATGTATGTTTCAGTATATGCAAAGGGTTGGAGTGATGTGATGTCGTCTGATGGATGGGATGAGATATTTTGGATGATCGGATGGGTTGGGATGGGATCATGTGGGGAGAGGGGGGGGAGAGGGGGGGAGAGGGGGGGAGAGGGGGGGTTGTGTTTTGATTTGATGGAAAGGTTTATTTGAATGGATGTGAAGTTTTAGAGTTCAGGGATGGGGATGGGGACTATAGGTATATTGCGAGGTGGTGTACATGCAGCTGTGTTTGTATTTGTGCATACGTAGGTAGGGAGGTATGTTCTACATGTTTTGCCTGCTAGATCATGAAGGTAATCCCAGAATTTGATGATGGGATCATTCTGAGCTCGTCTCTTTTACGCTCTGTCGAAAAAGCGACAATTAGACTAAGAATGATCTTCTTTCTCAATTGTCCAATCCCTTCTAACAGTGAAAAGGTGTTAGTTTATCGGTGCTTGACTAGTATCACATGATCCGGGTAATCTTCCCTATGTCGGTAAAATAAAAGCCGAACTTGATCTTGATTGTACGAATCTTTGCTAGAATGTTATTAGATTTGAATGGCAAATCAATCACATTTCAAACAAATATATTTGAAGGGGTTGGAAGGATGATTGGCTTTTGATTTTCTTGAAACTTAATTGAAAGTATATTTCACAGGACAACCGAGGAAGATACTCGAATTGTTGATGTGGTCAAGCCCGGTCTGATTTCCCCCTGACGTACGTAGAGACAGACAGACCCTTTATGTGTTGAACTTAGTAAATTGATCCCGAGGTGAAAAGGTCTACTCGTACACCCCTAAAGACAAAGCAAAGTCGGGATTCCAGATCCCCATACTTTACTCTATAAAGTTAACAGTGGGCTACTATTGACTTTAGTAATGTGTGTGGCGTGGGCTACGAGTCAATGTGGACATTCTCCTGTCAATCAGTCCCTGCCAACACTCAGCGACGCAGCTAGCCGGTATGCTTGGGACATACGAGAGCTGACAGTACTATTGAATTTTTCAAGACAAGACAGAAAGATACGAGAAGGTGACTATGGTGATACGAGAAATTGTGTATATGCACTAGGACAAGATGCTCGTATTTCATTCATGTATCTGTACAGTAATCAATGTATCGAGGTAGGTGGATATTCAAGCCAACCGATACCAGGATACCAATTGCACATCACTCATGTTATTATATTGCAGATGAGGTCATATCACCTTGATCAGTAAATTCAAATTATTGATTCAACGATTATTATTTTCCCTTCGACAATTCACCGCAAACAGACATCCTCAGCCACCACTCTATTTATATCATCCCAATTCATCAGCCAATCGAATCTTTTCGGCTGTGGCTTCAAACCTGCCCAGGTGAGCCAAAATTCCATGCTTCAGCCACACAAACTAACTATGCACTCGTTCGGATGTTCCGTCTGCTAAGAAAAAGCTGGTTCGTGTTCCCAGTCAGTTCACAATCCAAAGTCAAAGAAAGGCCGAAAACAGCCTGAAGAGCAGACTGACCTCACTCATTTATCCAATTGGGGTATGTACAGAGTTATATAAAGGCCTTGCATGGTGGACCCGCGCGGGAACGACAGGGTTTGACGTGGGTGGCCCGGTTACGGTCTGTCAACTACTATCTAGCATGATGTCTTGAAGATCGGGATACGATACGATGAGTGAGATAGGTAGGTGGCAGGTATAAGAATGGACGATCTCCGTTTCTGGGAGTTCCGTACATTCGATATCTTTCTTCACGGATCAAATCATATTCCATCGTTTATCTTGCAGTTCGTCTTTGACCTGCCTTATCCATTCAATTGCATTTACCGTCCCCGCTTTGCTGCAGGTCTATCTGTGAAGCCGTTTCATCTTCGTCTGAGTCCTGAGCATTTTTTTCGCGGAGGGCCAGTGCCTTTGGTTACATCTTTGTGGGGTAAAGTCTAGATTGGTAACGATTTACTTGGGAGATTATCCGTACGACTCTTTCTTTGTTTTGTTGAGAGAGGGGAAGAGTATAGATATAAGAGACATCCGCTTTGGGGGGTATTTTCGTCTTGGTCTATCTCAACTTCATTTCCAAATTCTATATCCGGATTTTGTTTCGTTCATTGCTCAACGCGATTGAAACATTTGATAGTTTGAAAACATACGGACTATCCACCTACCAAGGATATTTTTCTATAATATCTCGAACAGATATTCACATCAATCCTCTCACATACGAGTCTTTGACTTCAGACCTCAAAATGCAACTCTCGTCGGCCTTTCTCTTCGTGACAGCTGCTGTACTCAGTACCTTTTCACTCGTTACAGCCACACCAATGCCTTGCAGCGATGTAAGTTTCTCCTCATCCTTCTTATCTATTTCACAATCTCTGTCGTCATTATATATTCCCGGAATTGAGAATGCAAAACTAACATGGATAACTAGGCGACAAGAGATCTCGTTCTCAGAGGAACCTTAGATCCAAGCGCATGTTGTAGTTATGGTGTATGTAAAGGGCTCGTAAATGTCCAAGGTGGTTGAGCGAACTTTGCTTTTAATGGTTCGAAGGGAAGATGATGAAAGAAACGGGACGTCGCTATCGTCGGTTCAAGAGGCATTGAAGCACAGCCCGTTGTGGGATTGAATATTCGGGGTATCCGGTTGGCGTTCATTACACGACACCACAATCTACACAATAAGATTGTATTTTTGTTAGGTGTTCATGGCTATGATCACCTATTGGGTTACAAGGTCGCCACGAGATTAAATGCGGGCAAACGATCAATGGAGTTATGGAAATGGAATGAGGGCTCGACTTTACAGAACAAAATACTCGACAGTAGTTCGTGGGTCCAGGTTATGGATATATGGGTTTCTGGTATCAATTACCACGGGTCGTATGTAGAGTTCAATACATATGTATCATTTATAAGAAGTTTTTGAAGAAGGAATAAAAGTTTTGTGCCTCTCTCACATCCTTGATGTCGTGCGACTTTTTGTTCAGCTCTGGATATCTGTGAGTATATAAAGCCTGCCACCATCGTCAAGACCACCATCGTCAAGACCACCACCGTCAGGGCCATCAACCTTCCGTGTACTCGGGTGAGCATATATAGTAATAATGTGTTGCTAATTCGACTTTGCTGTATGATTCAGATAAACATCCATAATGTTAGTTTAACTTTGCGAACTGGCCCATTTTACAGGAAAGTAAATTTTACCTCTGAGAGTTTAGTAATCCATCTTCAATACTCTGAGCACTGAATTATCAATATTAATATCGCCAGAAAATATGCTATGCTAGATACACAACTAACACGCAAAGCTGAACTGAACTGAACTGAACTGACCTGAGCCAGCAGCTAGCATGTAGCAAAACTACTCACGACTCAATATTCCCAACGATGTAAAATATAATTATACCCAACCTGGCCGACTTTACAGAATAGACGACGCGCAAGCGAGGAAATCGGAGTCCTCTCATCTTCCCGCCATGATAATATTTACCACGAGGTTGGGGATGTTTAACTTTACCAGAAGAAATCACGTTTTCTTATCTTTCCTTTCTTTCTTCAGCAAAACAAAACTTTCTTTTTCCTTTTGTGCCTCGTACGATTTGATTGATCGATTACTCGTGGCATGGGCGTTCCAAGTACGAGGTGCGCTACTGGAATCGACTGGCCATCGGTCTAGATCTCTTCTTCTTGTCTCACATTTTGAGAGGGAAATGTTATAAAGTCGCTTTTATTTTCGGGTTTGGTGGGAATTTATTTTGTTGGGAAGTCATTGGATTTATTGTATTGTATTCTCTCTGACTGTACGACCTGAAGAGACTCCTCTCCTCTTTTCTACCCCATTAAAGCGACAATCTTCATTTCTATACACAACACACAAGCATACGATAGATATTTCACCTACCTACTCACACAAACAAACCATGGATCCTACCAATATCTCGATTCTCCTAAACAACACATCTCTCATCATAACCGGCACCTCGCTCTTCATAAATGGAACTCTAATTAATGAGAATACGTATGAACATGCATCTGCGTGTACAGTTTATAATCCCCGCAGAAGCGATACCTCGCTCACGGTGTTTATTGTGTTTATTTTCCTCGCTGGTTCGTTTCTCGGGTATGGGTTTGGGGCTGTGGAGAGGGTGGAATTGTTGTGGACGCGGAGGGCGGAGGGGAATTGGTTGGGGGAGAAATGTAAGGTGATGATGGGGGCTGAGGAGCAGAGGGAGAGGGAGGGGTGGGGTGGGGATGGGGAGCATGAGACGGGGGTTATGTTGTTAGAGAGGAGGGAGAAGAGGGTTGAGATGGTGTTGGGGGGTGGGTGTGAGAGAGATGGGTTTGTTGAGGGAGGGGATGTAGAGAGGGGATGGGGATGTGGAGTTAGCTTGGCTGCGGAGGACAATGTGGATGGTGTGATGGATGGTCCTTGGAGGGATCCCAACCTGTTTCTCTGTAGTTGAGAGAAGAATGATGAGATGAGGAGAGGAAGGATAGTAAGAAAGAGGTGATTCTGGGTAGAATGGAAACTAAGCAGCAAGGAAATTGAGGAAGACGAGTGGGATAGTTCGTGGACATAGACGAGCAACTGGGCAATTTGAAGCTTACAATCTCTTTCATATCTCATTCCATTTTTACCATCAATCCCAGCCAAATCTTATTCAGGAAACTTTGACACACCTCTTTCTCCCTCACCTATCAACTCCCAACTTAAAGCTTCGCATCACCCTTCAAAACATCCCTCAAAAATGCCAACGCCTCTTTTGCAAACGCAACCATGTTCCCCTCTCTATCACCACCCAATTCCGTACTCAAATCTTTCTTATACGTTCCTTTCTCCGTTGCGATAGCTAGGGCTACATATCCTCTTTTGGTTGTATCATGTGTTAGCATTCATCCTTGATGTATCTCTGACTTATCCACCATCCAATCGCCTATCCCCGCACCTGTCAGGGATAAAAGAATTGAAAAGAACAAGCAAGGAGAGAAGAAAATTATGAAAGCGAAAAAAGAAAAGAAACCTACGGTTGTCTGTTCCTCCCCTCTCCACTAGCACCAGGTCCTGCAGTCCCACTCTCACAAATACAATAAGTACTTCCCAATTTTCCCCTCACATTCTCGGCAATACCCGCCACGATATCTGGTGTAGGTCCACTATACGAAGCTATGGTTTCTGGGGTCCAACCGGCTTGTAGGTATATTAGTATGAGATATCCTTAGCACAAAGATACAAAAATAAAAGAAATCTCAAGAATGAAATAAACTAAACGGATAATTACCAAAAGCTATTCTCGATTCCAAAGTGTACACCGTCAGACCACCTTTAAACACCTTGCTGGCGCCGGGCGTACTGAGAATAGAAGCGGATATGATACCTCCCGCCGCCTGTTTATGTTAGATTCTTTCTCTTCTTCTTCTTTAATACACATTCTATCTCCCATCACTCTTCTACTTAAACATCCTCAATTCCTATTTCCCACTCCCCAAGCTAACTGAATCACACCCAGATATCCAAGAGAAAATAATCCAGGCCACAAAGCCAAAAACAGGACCTCCTCCCGAACCCCCCGAACAATCACATATTTCTCACTCTCACTCCTACTTCAAACCACATACCACAAACATCAAAAACGAAAGAGCAAATAAAACATACCGTCTCAGCTACACTGACAGTTTCCCCTCTCTCCTTCAATAATTTCGCAACTTCAATCACCACTTCCTTTACTTTCTGTGGCGGGAATTCTTTTGCTTCAGACATTGTGTTTGAGGATCTCTTGGGTCCGATATATTGGGGTTGAAAGGAAATGGATGCTTTATGAAATAATGATAAACGACGGAGAATCTTTGGTGAGAAGAGTTGTGATTTCATTTATGATTTACTGATTGTGTTAGAGTTTGATGTTGATTGATAATGGCTTGAGGTCCTTGTATTTCTAAGCATGACGATGAATGGCGGGGAAGGTTTACTAGCGGCGGAACTCTGCATATGAAGGAAGCAACTACGGATTTGAGTCAAATGGATATTCTTTCACGAAAGTTCATTGGAGGGTCCGTTTGTAAATGGGTAATCAATTTGTTCACAATAGTATCTAAAATTTGATAGGGTCTACAAGACTTAGGACATATGCAGATACGCACGGTAACATGCTCAGCCAATCATGGAAGTCAATTGTGTGAGATTTCATGTTGGAAACCGTTCCATACAAGTCAAACGAGAGAAATTGGCTCAAAGGCCGCCATCATCCTCCCTATTGAGTACAAGCTCACATAATCTCTACGTTTCCCTCTGAAAGCTATTGATTCACCCTGAGATCCAGCGAACACGCTTTGTCAACCTCTACGTGATAAAATGAATCGACCTACTGAACATCGGCTTCGACCTTTTGGGAGAGAGTCTAGAACTGAATCATTGTACGATGAATACCGCCGAGCTACTAATCCTTACTTCATGTATGATTCAGAGCCATTAAGAAGAGCTGCGCGTGAAAGATACGAACCCGAATTTCGACTGAGCAGAAGTTTTGATAGAGCGACTAAGAATGGAGGGCGAATATTGAGTTCAGAGAGTACAGACTCTATGTTCGACTCAAGCAGTGACTATGAAGACGCGAGGCACAAGGGTACCTTGCCTTTTGGAAAAGCCATGAAAAAATTGCGTACTGTGATCAAGGAGGCAGGAGTCATCTACTCGGGAGTTCTTAAAGAGTATGATGCCGATGTTCAAAGTGTCAAGACTTATACACCAGCAAGAATCCTGAGACAACTGTGGACTTTGAAATTGGACAGTGTATCGAGAATTCCAAAACAGACAGAAGATTTAGAACAACATGCAGGATATGGCAATTTAGATCAAGATACCAACATCAAGAAAGTGAACGATTCGGAAGATACACTGTATGAGCAACTCAATCATCAAATCGCCCAAGTTATGGAGGCCTTAAAGCAGGCACGTGTGTCGACCGTCAGGGAGAAATCGAGCGCGACTGTGTTTAAAGCATCGGAAAGATTGAAGGAAAAGATCGATACCACAGGTCGGCAGATTTTGGAGTTATTTCAGAGAGCTAGAGATGGAAGTCAAGACTGCGAAGCGCTTTTGGACGAATTGAACGGGCTGTACACTTTGCTAGAGGGCAATAAAAAATTGTATGCGAATGAGAAGGAGGGAGAAAACGTAGAGAGTTCGGTTTCGTCATAGATCGTTGCAATAGGAATTTTGATTGGTTTTGGCGGATGGCATATTCGCAAAGGTGGCATTCGTTGACTTCGAAAGAAGTCAATCAATTCTGGATTTGAAATACTAAATAACGAAACAAAGATTCGAAATCATTAGTAGTATCCAACTCACAAGGTGAAATATGATTACTGACCTAGAGAAAAAAAGGGTGAAGCGTCGTCCTCAACAGAGTAATCGGAATCGAATTGTACTCGACTTGTCATACCGGAGCAATGACAAGTTCAGCACGCCACGTATTGCACTTAAGTGTCATGCCTCAGCACACACAATCTTCGCAACGGCTCTCCCAAAGGAACAATGATACACGACTATTTTCTCTCCTCCTTTCGGAAGTGATATGTATAGAGTGACCATGCCCTGCTTTTCTGATGCCAATTGCAGACGTGAAATCACGCCGAACCCTCACGGGCAGACCTGTTCATCTTTGCCCAAAGGAAAAGGAACGAGGTAAATTGAAGAGTACTCCGAATTTCTCATATGCAAATAATTAATCGCAAGCGATCTGATAATCTTGAGTGAACTAGTTTATCTGTTTGTGGCATAGAAACGCAGCGTTGATGAGGACGACGCTTGAGGAAAAAAGGGAAAGAGATTCAATGAAAGTTTCTGAGTTTATAACTGTTATCCCAAAAAAGCTCGCTAAGAAATTCTTTAGCGTCAATCGTAGCTTTAGCGCCAATGAAAGCCCTGTCACATGCCAAGATGTACAACGGAAATATGTCATTTTGGAATCCCGACAAGATTGTGCACAGCCTCAATCAGCCTCGAATCCATAATCCTTGCTGGTGATTATATGACGCGCCTCTTTCCCATATTAGGTAGGGATTTCTACTATTCATTGTTCATCATAAATTGATCGAATTCCTGGGGAAATATTACTCTATCAACGTTAACCTCAGAAAGCGGATCCCATCAATATGTGCTTCATTTTCACCTGTGGAGAACACGGTATGAGAGCTTCCATCACCAAGAGTCTCTGATGGTTCTTTAGCTGACACTTACATAGAGTTCTCATCCCAACTTCAGGGATACGAGAATGTGTTATGCCAATGTCATAATTGTGTAGGTCTTCGATGCTGTCCCTTCCGCTCTCCCAATAACTAATTTATATCAATAGGGAAATTACTCTGCGAAAGTCATAAAGAGACATCCCTGGTTCACATTCTGCTTCATCCCAGTTCTCCCATTGAGCTTTCATGCTTACGAAGATGTTGTCTGCTCTATCTGCAATTTCGCACAACCACTTCAAAATCGACCAGACGTTCAATCCCAAATAAACGGAGGAGGACAAGTGCCATTACAGAATCAACCCCCAGGTGGTGGCGGCGGCGGCGGTGGAGGTCCTGCGAATCCTGGTTGGGGAGGAGGTCCGCCAGGTGGGAAACCACAACAACCTATGCAGTACGCATAACATACCGCTTGAGGGAGGTGGATTAGGAGACGGTCGAAGCTAGAGGGAGAGTTCGAGTTGAGGATATTTCAAGGCTGTATCAACAAATGTGCGATCCAGGACACTCAGACTGGAAAGAGGATTGGTTCGGCGGGCGCGGTACGGAGTTTTATAACGGAAATTGGAATTGGTTGATACTATTGGTGATATCTTGATCTTGGGCAAGAATTAATTTGGTCTTATATTCCTAGGAGAAATTATTAATAAGATAGTTATTTTCTATGTCCTGAAGTCTCAGGTTCCTGTAGTTGACATGTTGCTCTTCGTTTGACTTTGCGAGCTGTGGATTGATCATTGTTAATGAAAAGGAGATTGAGAAACCATCTCTTCGATATTTGAACATTCCAAAAATGAACACTAAGTAAATACTCTGGATTAGTCAAAGTCAATTATCCAGACTGATATCCAATGGCAGCTATTTGGAGTCTGCCATCTAAAGGGATGATAATCAAACTGTCTTTGGTGGGATGATTGATTCATTCTCTGATTGATTGGTGTTCTAGATGATGATTTCTGCGATTGGCACATTTATTAGAGAAGCTGTCAACGCAAACATCTGATATGGTCTAGAATCGATATGCAAGATGCAGCTATTTTTTGTATCCCGCATAGAGATGAATTTCTCCGTGGGGCCAAGAGACCCATGGTTCATCGGAACACACCGTATCTGATAAAGCAGAAGTCTGTATTAAGCATATCGAGCACCTCATCGACTCATCGACTCAATTTTCATTAGAGTATGTATACGTCTGCGGTATCGGAATACTCTAAACAATCTTCTATGGTATTCCCATTTCTTGGTTTTACTCCACTTGATGTCACTGTCCAATTATGACTTCTGCCCTTTCCCCCTGCCTTTGCATGTCTTCTCACATTTTTCCCATCAGTTCCAATTTCATTATCGATGGCTTTTGAAAATTGCCTCTTATCAATTGAAAAATAGCCAATCAAGAGTTGATATTTTGTCTATCGTACAGATCGCTTAACCCCCAATGTCCAAGCTCCCGATGATGCAGTGAGATAGCAAGGGTTTGAGGAAACTCCTAGGTAATTCTATATGTTTTATTTGATAAAATTATCGTTCTTCAACCTTATCTATTGTACAAATTTCAGATTGTGGTGGTGATCATCGCTTTCTCTCATCCAGATCTCTTATCCATTATATGGTGAGTAACTCATGCAAGGTAAAAAACACCACCAAGGTATCATGTCACCCCTTCCCTTTCAGCTCTTACTTCCGGTGACTGGTCAGTATCACAGATATCAGTATTACCCCGAAATGTAATATCCTAGTTGCATATCTCCATATACCTAGCATGATATGATATGATATGATATAATAACAGCTTTGTCCCCCCTTGTGCCACATGTGTAGATTTCCATTAACTTTGTGAAAACGACATTTCATCCATTGCATTGAGGTCGATTGTCTCTCTTCAGCCAAGATGCCTATCTCACCTCCACTCAGCTCTGGCTGGGGCTATGGAATCGTTCTTGGTTTGGGTGCTCTATTCGCATTTGGCATGGTAAGTTTTACACCAAATTGCTACAATTGAGTTCTTGACTGACTTCTTTGGATCAATTAGATCCTTGTGACATGGATTCTCAAACGATATAACCACGAATTACAAACATCGGAGATGTTTAGTACAGCTGGAAGAACAGTAAAGTCGGGATTGGTGGCATCTGCGGTTGTATCTTCATGGACCTGGGCTGCTACATTACTGCAAAGTTCTGGTGTCGCATATAAATATGGTGTTTCTGGACCTTTTTGGTATGCATCTGGAGCTACGGTTCAGATTTTGTTGTTCGCGACTATTGCCATTGAGTTGAAGAGGAGAGCACCAAATGCTCATGTAGGTTTGGCAAATCTGGCAGGTATAAAAACATACTGATGGGGTTTAGACTTTCCTTGAAGTCATTAAAGCTAGATATGGGGTACATGCTCATATCGTATTTACGGTCTTTGGCTTAATGACCAATATCCTTGTCACTGCAATGCTTTTGACAGGTGGTGCTGCTGTGGTATCCTCCTTAACAGGAATGCCTACCCCTGCTGGTAAGAGAATCATATGATATCAGATTCCCGTTTACTTACATTATATAGCTTGTTTCCTCCTACCATTGGGTGTAGTTATGTATACCATGTTCGGTGGTATTAAAGCTACTTTCCTCACTGATTGGGTTCATACCTTTATGCTCTTAATCATCATCCTAATTTTCGCATTCACCACTTACGCTACAAGTGAAGTGCTCGGATCGCCCAAAGCAGTATTCGATCTTTTACTCAAAGCAGCGGCCGATCATCCAGTCGAAGGCAATTCCGGTGGTAGTTATCTCACTATGAAATCTTCAGAAGGTGCCATCTTCTTCGTCATCAATATCGTTGGAAATTTTGGAACTGTGTTCTTGGATAATGGATACTATAACAAGGCAATTGCTGCATCCCCAGTACATGCGCTTCCAGGTTATATCATGGGTGGAATCTCTTGGTTTGCCATTCCATGGCTGTGTGCTACAACTATGGGTCTAGCAGCCATTGCTCTAGAAGGCAACCCAGTCTTTCCTACCTATCCTAATCGTATGGATCCCGCCGATGTTTCAGCAGGTCTTGTACTTCCATATGCCGCCGTTGCCATTCTCGGAAGTGGTGGTGCCGTCTGCACGCTTCTGATTGTCTTCATGGCCGTTACATCAGCATCATCTGCCGAACTCATCGCTGTCTCTTCCATCTTCACATATGATATCTATCAAACATATTTCAACCCAAAAGCAAGTGGAAAGAGATTGATTTACATGAGTCATGCTATGGTCATTGGCTTTGGTTTGTTCATGGCTGCTTTTTCAACTGGTTTATACTATGCTGGTATTTCCATGGGTTATCTCTACCTCATGATGGGTGTAATCATCTCCTCTGCTGTCATTCCCGCGACTCTAACAATCATGTGGGCTGGCCACAATCGTTGGGCTGCCGCACTTACCCCTCCTCTCGGTCTCATCTGCGCTGTTATCGCATGGCTCGTTACTGCTAAGAAAGAATGTGGCTCCCTCGACGTCGATTGCACTGGTTCTAACAACCCCATGTTAGCAGGGAATGTCACAGCTCTTCTCTCACCTCTCATTTTCACCCCACTCTTCACCTTAATTTTCGGCTGGGATAAATACGACTGGAAATCCATGGCCGCTATCCGCAGAGGCGATGACCACGATTTAGCCGATGCAGCCGATGTAGATCTCGAACTCGTACCAGGGGAAACGCGCGCCTCGGCCGCAGAAGAAGCACTCGAACAAACTAAACTTCTCCGCGCTTCAAAAATCGCAAAGGGTATGACTGTCATTCTGACTCTCGCGTTGTTGATTTTATGGCCCATGCCCATGTACGGCAGTGGCTACATCTTCTCCGAGAAATTCTTTACTGGCTGGGTTGTCGTAGGTATTATTTGGTTGATAGGTAGTACATTGACGGTGGGTGTTTATCCCGTATTCGAGGGAAGACATTCATTGGCGAGGACGGCAAAGTCAATTTATTTGGATATTACTGGAAAACAACATCCAAGTAAACATCATAGACCAGAAGCTAGGTATGTAGAGGGAGTCAAGGATGATGGGACTGAGACGCCGCCAGTCGGAGGCAGCGAAAAGGAAATCGCGGAAAAGAGTGAGGCTACGGTTCAGTAGGCATAGTTGGGATAGGTTGGGTGTTTTGTTGGAACTGGGATGGAATGGATGCTCGATGATACCATAAATATTTTCTTTTTTGCGATGTGTGTTTGCTTTTAGTCAATGGAGGTGGTAAAATGAGTGCGAGTTTATACCATTTATTAGTTAAAAGAATTGCAATTTCTATCTTCATAATACCCCAAGTCTGGGATGCAAATGTAACGCTCTTGTCTCAATATGCAGTAGCACTAGGGAACATTTTCGTTCAATCTCTCAAGATCAGTGTGTCCGATGACCTGACTTGAACTTCGCGATGTGTAGAAGTTTGGTGAATGCTTGAGAATGATTCACCAATGCATTTAATTGTTTCATGCATTCTTTCTATGGAATAGACATAATATTGATAAGCATCTTATTTTAGGAAAGAAATGAAACTATTCAAGATCTGAAATCGACTTATGAAATCCCTAAGCCATTATGTACTTGTTTGAGTGCAACTTTCCAATCTTATTGCCAGAGAGCGTGCGGTTCGTAATGAAACTGCGAAGACGTAGAAAGCTATACGTAGTTATTTTCATTGTCGGGCGCTCTTTCTTCGTGACCGTTTTTCTTCTTTGATTTCTTCTCAAGTTCCTCATTCTCTCGTCGTGCCTTGAGCTTGTTAATTAATGGCTTTACAGGACGAGCTACATCTGGCGGGTGTATGAGCATGTTCAAGCGCTCTTTGTATTTGACATCCGAGTCCTGCGTCGGTTCTGGTGATGGAGTGAGTTGAAACACCATAAATTCTATATTGTGTTAGTGAAAATTGAGTTTGCTCAGGATGTAAGGACTTGCCCCAAATTGCTGTGATAATATCGGCCAAATTGTAAGAGTTGAGGCCCCGGTTTATCGCACACCACCCATTTTTCGGTCTAATTTTTTAAAATTTAATAATAAATCAATTATATAATATAATCTTATAAAACTTGAGTATTTTATTAATGAATAGTAGTTAATTCTTGTATTTCAATTATATCTTCAATCTTGCAAATCAATTTCTTAATATATAGCCTGAAATCTAAGGGATTCATTTTATTTTAGAGAACTTGTAATTTATGTTTCAATTTCTTTATAGAAGTAAATATAAATGATAGCTTTTTTAATTCCTTTTTTATTTATTATTATATTTTTTCAATTGGATTAAGATTTGGAGAAAAGGATAGTTAATCAAAGTTTCATATATTATACTTTAATTGAATTCTATAAGTATACCTAAAATATATTTTAGAATTATTCTTTATAAATATATATTTAGATTTTAATTTATTAAATGATAAGAATATAATAGGTTTAAAAATTTGTTGTATATATACTTTGAAGGTAATATCTTTATTATCCTCAAATCTTTTTAAAAAGATTAATAAAGATTTATAATTTCAGTTAATTGTATCTTATATTATTATTAATATTCTTTTTAATTAGTATATTAATTTAATATAATTAGTACATCTCTTTTTATTAATCTATTTAGTAATCTATATTCTATTTGTTTTTTTAAATTCGAAAATCCTTTTATTTAATTATATAATTAATTTTCAATTCCCTTTTTCTAATTTAATAGTAGTAATATTATTAATTTTTATTAATAATATTTATATATAAAATCTAATCTCTTTTTTACTTGTATTCTTAAAATAAAGAATTTAGGATATATTATATATCTTTTATATCTATATTAATATAATTCCTTTCAAATTAAATATATTGAAGTCTTAATATTAAATATATTTTTAATTTATTTAAAAATCAATTTTTTTCATTTCAATCTTTAATAATTATTTTTATAATTCAATAAATCTCTTTAATAGTTATTATAAATTTTTAATAAATCTTTTTTTTCTGAGTTCTTTTGATTAAATTAGATTTAATTATACTTCTTATAATAAATTGTAATATATTTAAATTTAAAACAATCTATCTTCAGGATTTTCTATCAATTCTAGTTTGAATAACTTTAGAATATCAAGGAGTATGCTAATTTTGATAAAATATATAATTATCATTTTTGTGATTATATTCAATATCCATTTTGAATTTGAGTTGAAAATAATGAATTTTAGAATAATAATTGAATTTTTAAAATAAGGTGTGCGAAATTAGGTGGCTACTCTAAGCTCGCTTAAATGTGCGATAAGCCGGGGCCTCAACTCTTATATGATAAGTTGGAAGAGACAAGATATGATGAAGAGCGGTAGAAATATGATACCAAGTGATACGTGTATCAAAGTTAGAGCTGTTTGATGCTAGTAAGACTCGTCGGGCAGGGAGCTCAATACTAAAATAGTGAATCCAGAACAATAGAGTCCAAGTCTCAACTCTTGGAGACATTTTGCGCTTTTTATCGTGCGAATTTGCTGTACGCTCGACTCGATTATGATTTTGTTCAACTTCTTCAATGTCTTCAGGTATACTTCGTCGCTCCTTCTTGCCTTTTACTAGAAGAGACCTTTCCATTTTTCCTTGGGAATATCTGTGATATACAGAGAATAGATCATCTACGATCTTAGCTAGTTGTTTAGCGTTAAGTAAAGCGAGTACTGTGAGGAGGATAGCGACAACAGCACAAACTGCCATACTGCCAAGTACCTTCCCGTCCGGGGCACCGCTCATGCTGAAAATCCCTGTTGCAAATCCCAGAGGCAGGAAAACGACAGTAACATAAGTGAAGAACCGGATTTTTTCAGACCCTTGGAGGCTCAAGTCATTGCGAATCTTGAGTAGGTTTGATAAGTCAGTAACTGTTCTCAAATAGCTTTCATAATTAAAGATGAGGCATGACAAACACCAGATTCAGGGGGGAGTAAAAAAGCTGCTCTTACTTGGTCCTGGCTATTTTCGATAGTTTCCCTTAGAGTTTTGATACTCCTATATGCAACATGTAGGTCTATAACTCGCCTTTTTGTAGAGCCTTTGGATTTGTTGATGATACCGCGGTATTTCATCTCGTCGTTCCGCGTCCAGCGAGGTTCTTCCCCTTTTCGGTCATCCTCCCGCTTCTCCCATTTCCCGATAACTCCGATTGCAGATTCGAGCTCCTCCTCAACAACATGTAAAATGTGTTGATATCTGTTCCACAAGACACTCGAAGTAAAATAATCGTCACTACTTAAAATGGAAGATGACAAAGCGCCTTGTTTCATTCCCAACTCCTCTCTAATTGAGTAAGATATTTCTTGGGTGCATCGGACAATTTGTTGTATCATCCGATCAAAGAATTGCAGCTCAAGTACTTTTCTTTGTCTGTAGGCTTTATTATTTGATTTTATGAATAAAGGTTGGTGGCCTTCGCTTGGATTAAAGTTATTATAGCCTCGCTCTTTGTACAGACCTGGAACATTCTCTAGCAAATAACCAGTCCAATACCGATCAAAAATATCGCCATCGAAGCGGAAGCCCATGGAAGCAACAGCGATCTTCTTCTTTTGATTACTACCTGGGAACTCCTCCGCAGATGAAGTAGCTATTCCTTCAGCATGATTGGAGTCAGAATGGATGAGTGAATAGAAACTCAGATGGAACTCAGTTTCCCATGCATTTTCTATAAGAGCTGTATCTTCCAAAAAATAGCTTTCGTTTTTCACATGTCGATCAAAAAAAGAGGAGATTGACATCTGATAGATTTCAGGAGTGGCTAAGTAGCACAAAGCAGCTTGAAACTCTTGAACCAGAGGCATCCGGATCAAGCGTTTCTTGGCTTGCTCTGGAGTACGAGGTTTGCTGAGTCTTTCCCACAACTCAAGGTTGTCCTCCCTTGGATAGACTTCGTAATTTGGCTCGTCCGATCTTCCAAAAAATTTCGTCTGTTGTACATCAACAACAAAGCAGTGATTCCATCTTGCCAATAAATCAGGAGGATTTCCCTCCCAATTGTCTAGTTCCTTTCTGACGATACCATTGCCAATTTCTGAATAATTCACTCCAGCTTTTGCGGACTTGCGTGCTTCTTCTAAATCGATTTTGGTCTTTCTCGAAAATATGGAGGGATAATTGTATAGCCATTCATCATCACGGTCTACAATATTTGTTATATCAATCAAGTCATTGAAAGGTGTAGTTTTCTTCATATTAAGATTTGCCGGAGCTCTCATAGCATCCGCGACTTTTGCTGGTTGGTTTTGTTGATTTGCCGGTATCGAGACTATGTTGTATCGAAGATGCTCTCACGTCGCTGAGGCTCTGTGTGTTGAGGATTATCAAGATCGGTCATTAATTGTACAGTAGCCGAGGGGCCCGAAATTGTTGTTTCCGAAAGCTGCGTCTTATATAGACTGTGAATTCGGGAAGCGTATTGAAGAAGAATATAGGGTATCTCAAAACTAGCGTGATAATAGGAGTCTGTATATTCTTCGTCTTCGAACAAAGCCTGCTCCTTCGTGTCCTTGTCTAGCTGCCCCGGAACAAACCCGTTGGAACTAAAGCTTCCAAAAAGAACGTCGATAGATGATTGTACCAATTCAAACGACGACTTTGCATTGATTTTGTACCCATCAGTGCCCATGGTTATGGCCAAAGCATAGCGAAGTGTATCGTCCCAGCCAGATTCTTCATTATCTACATGATGTGGTTGCGAGTCAATTGTCTTTTTCAACAGCTCGATAAATTGAGTCCCTCTCCATTTCACTTGGTCGACATTATAGAAGAGCGCGGTATCTCGCGCATGAAACAAGAATCTAGATTCCCGTACAGACCTTGTCACAGCTAGCATTCTCTTTTTAGATTGGTAATTCGGATTTTGCGTCGTAAATCGTTGCACCACTTCCCGCTGTGTATTGGCGAAAGAATACTCCTTTGCCAGAGCTGACTTGGTTGGCCTCGTCGAGGCCCCAGTTGTTCGTTCCGGGATATCTCCCTCCAATGAATTGGGGGAGACCATGGATTCAGCTATCTTAAGAGCCCTAATAGCCCAGACATGATCATCTAAGCGGAAGACACCGAACTCCCCACGTCGAGATCGAGGCCATGCAAACTTGCCTCTCCCATCGAGTTCATCTAGATGCGTTATCCAATTTTTATAAACCTGCCCGACACATTGGCGAGCCAGCTGCCACTCGTTTTTGCCAGGGTCTTTACTGTAGTGTTCGGCAAATTCCCCTGCCTTGATGATTTGGAATGCTGTATCTGTAAGACTATTTCTTGGCGGCTCATTAGCGTGTCTCAGTTCCCCATTTTCCAGTATCCTTTTCCCATTAGCCATGTAGCCATGCTCAAAGAGACCATCTTCCGCCAGCTCTGCGTCATTTAACCATATCAAATGTCCTTCACATATTTTTCTTATTCTCTCTCGAAGCGATAAAACGTATGTTTCGTTAGGCGACTCGATTGATCGTAGATGGGAGTCTACTTGGAGAAGGAACAGAAACGCAAAGCTAAAAGTTCAACCATTAATCTATAGAAACCGAGTAAATTCCTTGTAAAAAGAAAACTCACAGACTTGCTGAAGTACAGATCCGATGAGCTGATAAACCCCCACACGTCAAGGCTACAACAGACGTATTATTGCTACCTTGGTACGAGGTAATGGGAATCGCGCAAACAGTGAGAAGATGTTCCAAATTCCTTTGGAAGATGAATTCAAGGTTACTATTGATCTTATCCCACGCTATAGATTCCCTGGGAGAGACTTTGGATTCTCCAACGCTGAACAGTGATATTGGACGATATTGTGTCGATTGAAACTCATTTAACAACAACCTACTGACATTTGTCTCATCCGCTGCCACCAAGAATTGTTTCCAATCTTTCGCAACCTCTGACGTTGAATATATCAACTTATATGCAACAACAAACTCTCTAGTCTGATTGCCTTTGACGGTTAAGGTCCATTCCTCGTTCGTGTCGAATTTGATGGCAACGCCGTCAATGAAAACAAACACGGTCACTCCAATAGAATAATTGAACGCTTCAGCTTCGTTAGTATAACTAGCTGGGGTATTGTCTACTAGCTCATGCAAGCATATCCAGCTATAGTTTCCTGGTCCCAAGAAGTGGTAGTTCCCCCCCATAATACCATAGAAGTGATCCCATTCCTGATACTGCAGATCCCGAATGAGCATGTCTTTCGAAAACACAACTTTCGTTGAGATTTTTTCAGTGTCAAGATTAGTGAAGCGCCACTGCTGTAAAACGACTCCATCATGCACCATCCATTGATTGACGAGTTTGGCCTTTTCGCTCTCGTATTCATACCGCGGCCACCTACAGTGTACGTATTTCCGGACCAAATCATCTTCTACTATCAGATCTGGGAAATATACACCGTACGTCATTTCATCTCGATTGTGGGCTCGGGACATGCGATCCAGTTGATTCGCTCTGCCCCAAACTAACCAGGGCTCATAGATAGATGTATGGTCTACCGAAAACATGCCAGACTTTCCCGGGCCAAGATAAGTGCTGAATTGCATGAGTTGTCCAAACGCATTTACAGTTGCTGTTGTTCCTCCATCCCCAAATGGCGAGTAGCACTCATGGTTCGGATGTGACTCCCACATACTGCATTGTTCGTCCCCTGGTTCGTAGATTGAGGGATCATGATTACCCTCAACTGGGGTGCCTTGAATCGATGTTCAGTATAGATGAGATGAATGGGATGATAACTAACGATGAGTGTATTTCCTGAATTCAGTATCTTCTGGGTCTGGCAGCTCCGTAATCCAAAATTTCTTAGGCCTAACTCTCTCGTCATCGTCATTCTCATCCTCTTCTGTGCCTTCTTTTTGCAACTTTATAGCCTCTTCATGTCCTTCTCCCCCTCCCGCTGGCAATTCCTGTGCTTCGTCCTCGCGATCCATCATAAACCAAAGCTGTAGTTTTCCAATACCAAAACACGACGACGAAAGAGAGAATGTAGCAAAGAAAGAAGCCGCAAAGTTAAGTTAGCGGCTTTCCCTTGCCCCATCCCGCCGAGCTGAAAACCCATTATTGCCGGCATAAGAATAGTTGGCGAGGGTGATTAGAATGCCACGCAGCATGGAGAGATAACAGGGTATGATTACCACGCTGACGTAGCCCGGGACATCAATTGGTTCTCAGTATGAAGATGAATTGCTGAAGTAGTCAGGTCCAATATATGCATGCACGGTGCAACACGCACCTTCCTCCGATTCAAGTAAGAGGTGCGAGGACATTCCATTAATGGTTGCATGCAGCGTTGCAATCAAAAAATGGAACAACATTATTTGCTTGCTATGGTTATCACTGTGTGCCGCATACCAAGTTTTCACACATCCTTGGTGTGAACGGGAAAATTGAGACACCAAACCACCAAAATCAAAGAATCTCCAAAAGCACCTCTATCTCGATCTCGCATTTTGAGAGTAATTCGTCTAAGAGATACAACAAGATTCATGATTTCCACCAATTACTGACTTTTAGATCTTTATATTCAAGTTCCAAAGGAAAATATTGAGTTATTGATTATTAATCCAAAGTTTGAATAACGTTAAGCAATCTGATTTTATTGTTCCGTTTATTTCGTGCACATTGAGGTACTTAAGCCTGCTCTCAACATCTCAATCAAATCACCTCAATCAGACCCCAACTTCGGAAAGAATAATACATTTTGGTCTGCGATTTTAGTCGCCCATCACGACAGTCTTTCCTGAAAATACTCTACAGCCACACTAGCGGCCTGCCTGAGCCAAGTTCCTACGATATACGATGGTAGTAAATTCAAAGAATGAAAGTAACCAGTTTATGATTCAATGCACATCTTACTCTACATTCATATCTCTCACCATCACACTATCCCTCACTCACGGATCTTTTTAGGACTTTAATTATCTATCATACAGCATATAAAACAAACCCTACCCAAGCTACCCAGTTTTTACTACCTAAAAAATAGAAGTGAGAGAGACTACTGATACCTTAGTAAGTCCAATGCCTCAGTCCCCTTGTAGAATCCATGTCAGCTTTCGCAAAATGAATCCATGACAGCCACGTGGTTGAAGAATTTCAAGCTCTTTGAGATTTACCAAAGGAACGGAAAAATAAAAAACTGAAAAGAGAATGTCGTTACGAAACCTATTCCCAAACTCCTCCCATATCCAGCCCCATCTTGAAAAAACAAATGCCCTCTGAACTTAATCAGCCATATCTACTTCGTTATCCACGGCTGCTGTGGCAGTCGTCGAAGTAGGTGCTGCTGATGTAGCTCCAGAAACGACACTGCCACTGCCAGCAGCCTGTGTTGAGGGAAGAACACCCTCATTGACCCATTTTCTAAATTCTTGATTGATCCTACTAACTTCTTCGTGGCTCTTTTCCTTCATCCATCGATTGTTCATTCCAAATTTCTCATGAAATCTTTGATTTCTCGATTCCTCAACCTTCTTCAATCTTTGTCTAGTCTCACCTTCTTCACCACCGCCTAGAGCTTTATCGGCATAAATGAAGTATTCCACGCCGGGTTCCTTGTAGATGATCTTGTAACTATTGACGCAGATTCTGAGTGTTAGATCCTCGCCCCAAACAAGAGGTTTACGTTGATTAGAACCATCTTCAGAATCCGTATCTCCTGATGGTAGATTGCGGGTAAGGAGACTCTTGCGAAGAAGTCTACGGGGCACGCCTTCGGTCGGTTCGATACGGACATAAGAAGATGTATAATACTGCCAACGCTCCTTTCGTTGCATGATATCAAGATCGAATGTGGTTTCGTCTCGATGGACCCACTGTGATGTCGCTTCATTCTTTTTGGGGTACTAATATCCTGTTAGTAGATACTTGTAAAATGGAACCATAAATTACTTACCCATCTGATCAAGAATAATTCTGAATCTTTGATGTATTTATCGGCTTGTTTCCGTAGATTAATCTCAATATTATACGATGTTTCTTTCGACTCTCTGTTGCGTAAAAATTGTTCAATGAGATCCGGAGTCTTTTCCTTGGCATCGGGAGATGAGCAGGTGGAGCCAAGGCGACAAAGAGTCTTAAGAAGATCGCTTATGGTATATATCTTCCATCCCGTCTGCAAGTAGTAACGGCGGAGGTAGTCTTGGTATTTAGTGTCATCATATTCGCCCTTGATAAATTTTTCGACAATGCTCAGGACTTTTGAGAAGCAAGACTCGCCATCTTCGATACTAGTAAAATCATCAGTCCTGTCGCTTAGCAACCCAATTTGTTTTGCAGGTTTGCCACTCTTCGCACGTTCCATTTCTGCTCTTGCAGAACTCTCTGCGTCTTTAATGTCCTTGAGTCTTTGATAAAGAGTTTGGAAAACGCTGAAGAATACAAAAATGGTTTGGTTGCAATAAAGATTGTACCAATCACGTTGAAATGGTTGATCCGCTTTCATTTCCAAGTCGTCAGATTCGAGAGGTTTTGTTCCTTGGACAGCAACCGCACCTGGAACAGCAGCCCAACGCTCGTTAGTGACTTCGGTGATAGCTCTATCATCAGCTGCTTCGTTGACTTCTTCATCCATGTTAGAATCGACATCCGGTGTAGATTCTTTACTGCCAGTAGCGCTGTCTTCCTTCTGTCCCCGTCCTCTTGTGCCATTGCGACCTTTATCAAGTACTCCTCGTCGTAGGTCTGCTTTCTTTCCATTTACTGGTCGCCTACCTCGGCCATTAGTAAGCTCAGCCGGGGCAATATCTTCGTAATCATCATCAGGAGTTCCACGATCAATGTCAGCAGTGTGAAGTGCAACAAGATCCTCGGGTAAGTCAAAGAATGTAGATACAAACTTCTCAAAGAAGTCCGAAATGCGTCGACGCTCGGAACTACTGTGTTGGCTTGCATTGCAGGTATAGACGATCATGATATGTAAAAGCTGGCAAATGACCTCTTGATCAGCAAATTGGTACGAGTACTGATATTTTGGCGTGGGGCCTCTCGAGCTTCTAAGGCGTCGCTGTTCTTCGTGTTTGGTCTTAATAGAATCCACTAAATGCTTTGCAGCAAAATGTTTTTTGTCGGCTTGCTTGACGTGAATGCCCATGTGATCAAGACTTTTCAGGTACATAACACCACCTTGTGCACCCCAAACAGGATTCCATTCACGCTGATACTTATATTAGCGATGCTACATTGCTGGGATATAGGATACTTACTCTTGTAAAGGTCCATTCTTCATCCTTCTGCTTGAGTCGTGCTAAAATTACAGGTAACACAGCGCAAGGATCTTGAATTAGATCGGTAACAACTTGTGGACCTTTCTCTGCACCGTAGATCTTTTTCAATACACGCTTGTAAATAGCTTGGTTTGGACCAGCGGTGTTGGGCATGCGGAAGTTCTGTCTCTCAGCTGGATCCATGGCAACGATCTGCTGTGCGATTGGTTCAAGAAGTTGTATTACTTTGGCGTTACATTCAATGTTGAAATCGTAATCGTGACGCTCTTCTTCGATGCGGTGAAGACCTTCCTCAAAAATGTTCTTTCGATGAGCTACGAAACCCGAATCTTCTGACGCCCATGTAGGATGTGAAGCCCAGTCGTCGTTAAGAACGGCTTGGCACATCTCATCTCGACCACTACAAGGCTTCAATCGTTCCTGTCATTGGTATTAGCAAAGGGCTCTGGCCTGACGAACATATCCACTATCTGGGAATTGATGAATGAATAATTCGAAGCTAGAAGTATAGAGGGAGAGGGAAACTTGCTCTTTTCGGTAACAAGCGATAACTTGGCCCCAAACCTCGACAATTACTCAATGCAACCCTTCCTGTCGGCGCCTTTGGGCGATTGTCGATAACCTCGTCGACTCCTTCGTAATTGACAAAGGCTTTGAACCAATTCATCAGATCCGCACTTCCACCAATAAAATTGTGAACTTTGAATACGAGGACGTTTCGATCTATCAAGTCTTGTGAGAACAGGTTACAGAGCTTCAAAAACTCATTCATAGTGGACTTATTGCCAATATATTTCTTCACGCGATCGAAGAAAGCCAATTCTTCAGAACTCGCGGCAGACATCGATGCGGGAGGAAGTGGTTCGGGTACGATCGGTGTCAAGGTCGGAGATACCGCAGCTGCATCAGCAGCTTGTGGTTTACTGTTATGATGGGTTTTCGATCGCTATCAAATCAAAGTATTAAGTAAATGTCTCAATAAATAATGGGTTTTTAATAAAATAGCTTGAAGCCTAAATTACCTTGTTGGGTTGTTGTTGGCCAGCGCCGCGAACAGAGCCTTCTCCTCCATTACCCATTTGCGAATTGGTTCCTTGAGTGAGAGGCTTGCGCTTTTTTTCTGTTTTGCCATTAGTAGATACAGGGATGGGAAAGTTTCCCATAATTGGGAGTTTGGGATCTCCTGTAGGACCTCTATTTCCAAGTTGAGCACTCTGAGAAGAATCTGGCATTGCCGTTGCTTCCTCTGCCGCCTCCTTAGCAGCTTTTGCTTGTGCAGCTGATTCTGGAAGAAATTGTTTGAAATCTTCAAGAAGATCTGGCGCCGTACCAAACAAGGTAGTTACCTGACTGTAAACGTCCTGAATAGGTTTAGACTCGCGTTGGTACGTTTGGAGAATTTCGAGAAACTGTTTATAGATTTCAGGTTTGTCTTGGAAACGGTTCTAGAGTAAGTGATCAGTATATTTTCGAAAACAATTGGTAGAATGATTATCAGTTCATACCTTGATTTTGTTAACATAGCTTATTGCATGATTAAACTCAACCGGGCCACGCTTTTCCATGCCCGCTTGCGCACTGGAACCGTTCAGATTACCAGAGCTACCGCCCGGCGTTGGGGTTTGCGTGTTTCTCGGTGGTTGACCTAAAGTTGCACTGACAGCGTTAGTCAACTGAGAAACACCTCGCTGTTGTTGTTGATGAGCTGCGGCCGCGGCTGCCGCGGCTGCCGCTTGCGCTTGCGTTTGTGCGTCGTATGGTACAATTTGCGCTTGATTGTGACCATAAGGAACCGCAGCATTCTGGTGAGGTGGGCTAAACACGGCTTCTGGACTTTCGATGCTATGCTGGGGTTGTTGCTGCCAATTTCCTGGGCGTTGAGGATTGTAAAAGCCGTTCGCGCCGCTGCCGTGGCTGACTACGGTTTCGCCAAGTACACGACCAGCTCCAGGAATCGATTGAACAGTCGTTCCCATTGGAGTCGTGACTCTAATTGTATTTGGATTGTTGTCGGCACCGCACTCAATTCTATATCCAGGTGGTAGAAATGTATTGAAGCCTTGAATTAAATTTGGATGGCCTGCAAATAGTTCGGAAACCCGATTGATAACACCCGGAGTATCGATGCTAAAGGTGAACTAAGAGTTAGAATATGGATAGGACATGCTGTCGCAACAAAACCTAATGTGCAAGGCTGATAAAGTAAATATAGCTTACGCTTGACTTTTGAAGTCTTTCATGATATCAAGAAACCGATTATAAACGTCAGGTTGATCTGAAAACTGAACTTTGACTTGGTCGAGATAACTAAGAGCATCCTACAAGGAATTAGACTTGCGTAATAGCTTGGGCATACCCAAACACCCATGGGCAACAAAGACAATTTTCGCTGGAAACTTACATTGAGAATTGGCTGTTGGCCAACTTGTGTCAGACTAGCTGGCCCAGGCATTTGATGACCAGGTGTAACAGGTGTGAATGGCATCAACCTCGCGGCTGCTACTTCTTGTTGAGTCGTCTCTCGTGGAACTAGTTGTGGCCTGCCAAAGCCAACATCTGGTACTCCAAGTGGCACATTTGACTGGGGGCCACCTGAACCACGGCTGAAGATAGGTTCGGAGCCAAATATGGATTGCTGGAGGGGTTGCTGCGCAGAGTTTTGAGCATGATGTTGCAAAGTGCGTGCTGCATCATTATGAAGCGGTCCTCCAAAGGCGTTCACAGGTCCGCTTGGAGCTCCTAATGGGGTACCATGGGTAGCAAGAATCCCTCCTGGACTATGCATTGCTGTAGTTGTCCGGTTCGCAACAGGTTGATGCAAGGGAATGCTGCCGGTGTTGCTCTGATGAGGAGGTGCGGGTTGATATTGTTGTTCTCTGTGTTGCCGATCTCTTTCTTGCCTCTCAAGTTCACGCTCGCGCTGCGCCGTGATTTCTTCCTGCTTATGCTGTAAAGCACGTTGTCTGAGTTGTTCTTCCATATCTCGATCTCGATCGAAATTTGGAGGTCCGTTATGTGGTTGATTATTCATAACGTTTTGTTTCTAGTTGGCTGATATGATTCTCGATTGATTCCTCGATAAGCTAACTTTGGAAAGTATTAGATGTTAGCTCATTCATAAACGAGGAGTTTTGAAATCTCATATCACTAGCTCTAATTCTGATCATGAATGCGAAGTGAATATTGACTCAACGATGAACGAAGAGGTACTGACCAAGTAGCTTGCAAGTACGCGCAAGGCTTTATGCTCCGGCGCAATGGAGTAAAAACCACTAATGCCGTTCCATAGAAGTGAATCTAATTTCCAGTATGATTCCGAGATATATCTCTATTGCAATAACTAACTATCCCTCTAAATTCATCAATCAAAACGAATAGCAAGCGAGATGTCGACACTGAGTTATGAGAATTTCCAAATGATCGCAATGATGATTTCCCTTAGCGTGCCGGCGATTACCGCTAATGCTTCAAGGCTGAGTAAAACTAGGTAGGGAAGGCGAGGCTGTCAATTGTTAATCAGGCAGGCCCACTGATATTTGACATATCATTTGTATTCACTGAAGCACATTCCATTTTCAATGTCATTGCAAGATCAAGCTATTATGGAGACACTGTTGATTGATTCGATATTGCAATGTTTTTTGATAATTTTCAGGGTGAAAATGATGTAATCATCACCATGTAACGCACGTGGACATTTCGAAGACAAAATATTTATTATTATTAATATCATGATATGCGACGTCAAGGGCAAAACCCCCTATATGTGTGCCCAGTCGAATTTACTAACACTTTGATTCCCAAGTCCAAGTAAAGCCAATCTCTGCAAGTAATGCCCAAGCAGTTTCTATGCATAATTTCTCACATTCTTCAATATCCAGACTTGCCCGTTGTGGACGTCACCTGCCATGCTTGAGACCTCAATATTTCCAGGTTGCAACTACGAAAGAGGTCAGTAAGCACAGGTAACATATTTCAAAATCAAACTCACTCGTTTCACTCCGTCTTTATTCTCCCACCAGACCTCATCTCCAACTAAAGTCTTAACTTTCTCCCCTTCCTTCCATGGACTCGCAGGAATGATGTGAGCTTCCACAAATCTTCGCAGATTCTTATGCGCCCTCTCTTCTCCATCTTCACCCTCATATGCATTGGCTCCAAGTTTGTCATAATCTTCTGGGTCTTCCCATGGTTTTCGAGGTAGAGCCATTATTGCAGAATTGACTGGGGCAAGAATGGTTGTATTTTGGCCACCATCAGCAAATCGCTGACTTATAGGGGCTATATCTCTTGTAAATCCAGCGAATATATTGATGCTTCGATCTCTGCCTAGAACATCTGATAGAATGATTGTATCACCTCCACCGATGGGATCAGAAGACGGTTCTGAGTTAGGAGGCATCGAGGGACCAAGATTGTTGTCTGACAGAAGTCCTTGAATATCTTTACCTGAAATCGTAGCAGCAAAGAATATTGTCAGAAGAAATGACATTGAGGACGTGTATTTCATCCTTATTGTTGTTATTGTTATTTATGGATTTCGTTATTTGGCCCAAATCTTGATATCTTGATATAGAAATGCGGGATGACGAATTAACATTGATCGTCTCCGCCCACTTCATCAGCCCACATCAGCTAGCAGAATAAACACGTGATCAGGTACATTTCTTTGAATTCAACCTATATCACACAGCAGCAGATGGATATATAGCTACTCTCATCAACTTGTATCACCGGAGTTCACAAAAGCCAGTAAAGCCTAATAAGTGATTAACAAAGTAGCTTTGAAAGTAAGGCCCTAGTTCTTTGAAACCTCAAGATGCAAGAATGTCCAGACCACACCGATTTTCTACAAGATAGCCTAACTCGCCTAGACAGATTTGAAAGGAACATCTGAAGTATATAGAGCTCTCGAGACGATCTTAGAAAAGTTACGATTAGCTAAGTTTATGGTTAACACCAAGTACGCATATCTAGGTACATCGATTGAGTTGGAACTGTCAAGTAAAGTAAATAACAACCAGCACCTCTTTAACTGTACCCCTTCAATAGTGAATGCATTTACTCGGCTCAGTCAGCTACTCGGGTATCCTCAAACCTAGCACCATCCAACTTCATTCACATGTAAATAATCTTTCAATCAAATTCTGTCGATATTCCTGCTGAAAGGAATAAAATAACCTGAGATCAAATCATCTGATGCATTGGAAACCTGGAGTAACCTTAACATTGAATTTGTGGGGCTTAGCTCTTACCGGCTTTCACATGCTCGATACCCGCCTCTTCTCTTTGTATTATTGTAATCTGACTCGTGATATCGTTACAGACCGATTTCAAACAATGTCTAAGTATCCGAGTGTCACCAACCTTATGAGAACGAATATGTCTATCCAAACTTCCTAAAACCATGTTGCTGTTTTCATTTTTGACTGCGGACTTTACATTAGACAACTTCCAGCTCAAACTATATTGAACCCCATTAAATTATTGTATCAACATCGTTTCCGGAAATTTTGACCGTTCAAACCCCATAAATTTTCTCCAGTTTCGTATGCTGACATAAACATTCGAGAGAATTTGAGCGAATCAGGAACTTACTTTTCTTGCTTAGCACCTTAGCTCCAAGCTAAAACTTGGACCCGTAATGCCTCGGCACCCATTCCAGCGGAGAGACGAGAGCGCTATTACATTTAACACAAAACCCCCAACAACCCATTCTCTAAGATTCCTTCCATTATTTATCCTCTAAACTCTCTTTCTCAAGACATTTATCACCCTCTCATCACCTTCTCTACATACAATTCTAATTAAAATGGCGCCTAGAGTAATTGTCGTTGGCGGTGGTCGTATGTTTGATTACCTTTGTCCTTTGAAAGTGTACTGAAGCTAATGTTGACTGTAGTTTCTGGCTTGAGTGCTGCACATACTATTTACCTGGCCGGTGGCAACGTCGTTGTTCTAGATAAACAAGGCAAGTTGAACTCGCGATAGTGTTTAGTACACTTCACGTCACTTTCGACCAAAGATCGGTCTGAATTGCTGAGACACACTTTGCGCCACTCTCTCTCGCGTTGATCATCAAACACATGCTAACTGCTACATGAAGCCTTCTTTGGTGGAAACTCGACAAGTAAGTAGAAAAATTCTTGATTTGCAGATAATTTGCTAATGTATAAACAGAGGCTACCTCCGGTATCAATGGAGCACTTACTCGAACTCAAGTCGACCAAAAGATTCAAGACAGTGTAAAGCAATTCTACGATGACACACTGAAATCGGCAAGAGATAAGGCAAGGCCGGACTTGATCAAGGTCTTGACATACAAGTCTGCTGCCGCCGTTGAGTGGCTTCAAGATGTATTCGGATTAGATTTGACTCTCGTATCACGACTAGGGTAAGCAAAGACTTGCACATCAACTGTTCAAACATTTACTAACTGACTCAGTGGTCACTCACATCCAAGAACTCACCGTGGACACGATGCGAAATTCCCTGGTATGGCCATCACATATGCTTTAATGCAAAGGCTAGAGGAACTCGCTGAAGCAGAACCCGAACGTGTACAAATCATCAAAAAGGCACGAGTTACAGGACTGAAGAAGGAAGGAAACAAGATTACCGGTGTCAATTATGAATTCGGTGGAGAACCTTCATTTGTTGAAGGACCAGTCGTTTTGGCCACTGGTGGATACGCAGCAGATTTCACAGAAACATCTCTACTCAAGAAGCACAGACCTGATACTTATGACTTGGCATCTACCAACGGTGTACACGCTACTGGTGATGGTCAAAAGATGGTCATGGCTATTGGTGGTAATGGAATCGATATGGACAAAGTTCAGGTACATCCAACTGGTCTTGTTGACCCTAAGGATCCTGGATCTAAGTGGAAGTTCTTGGCCGCTGAGGCTCTTCGTGGAGAGGGAGGTCTTCTCTTGAATGGTGATGGTGATCGTTTCTGTGACGAACTTGGCCACAGAGATTACGTCTCCGGTGAGATGTGGAAAGAAAAGGACAAGGGAAAATTCCCAGTTCGTCTCATTCTCAACTCCAAGGCATCAAATGTTCTTGACTTCCACACCCGTCATTACTCTGGTCGTGGTCTCATGAAGAAGATGACTGGTAAGGAATTGGCAAAGGAGATTGGTTGTACACCAGATCATCTTCAAGGAACCTTTAAAAAATACAACAAAATCGCCGAAGGCAAAGAGAAGGATCCATATGGCAAGAAGTTTTTCCACAATGGACCAGTTGATATTGATGATGACTTCCACGTTGCTGTTATGGAGCCAGTTCTTCATTTCACCATGGGTGGTATCGAGATTAACGCAGATGCACAAATTCTTAACCAAGAAGGCAAACCATTTGAAGGTCTTTATGCCTGTGGTGAATTGGCAGGAGGTGTTCATGGTGCCAATCGTCTCGGTGGATCATCTTTACTTGGTTGTGTTGTCTACGGACGTGTGGCAGGTGATTCCGCTAGCAATTACCTTTTCCAAAATGCTCTCAAGGGTAACCTTGGCCCTGCATCACGTCTTGGTCAAATTTCCCTTCACATTGATCCATCGCAACCTGGCAAGATCTCCGTTGAATGGGATAGCCAATCTTCTGGTAGTGGCGACAAAGTAGCTCAACAATCCCAAACATCAGCCGGTCCAGTCATGAAAAATGGTGCAGACTCATCTGATCCAGGGAAAGTTAGCAAGCCAACTAAACCATCCGAATTCAAAATTCCAGAAAAAGAATTCACAATGGAAGAAGTAGCCAAACATAACAAGAAAGAAGATTTATGGGTTGTGGTTAAGGGTGTCGTTATGGATGTATCGGATTGGTTAGATGAACATCCAGGTGGACCACAAGCTCTTATGAACTTCATGGGTAGAGATGCTACTGAAGAATTTGAGATGCTTCATGATGATGAAGTCATTCCAAAGTATGCTGCTAGTCAAGTTATTGGAAGAGTCAAGGGTGTCACACCTACTTTGGAACTATGAGTTCCATTGATAAGACTTGAGACTTGAGAGAATGACTTGTTATGGGATGTATTACGGTGAATGGAGATATGGGGTTTCGGCTTAGGTTTTGGCTTGATGATGGGATGGATCATTATTCTCGTTTAAGAAATTGTATTGTATTGATATAAGACAAGATGAGATGAGATGATATTTCTAATTTAACTGGATAGTTTATATTTCTGTTGAGTATTTGTGTATTGTAATCCTGTGATTGGTTTCTTTTGAATCATCCCGTGATCTTAATACTTCACCCACTCTTGATTGACCTTGTAAAGAAACCAGTAAGTAATCCCCCCCAATTAAACATTCGCATTTATAACGAAAGCCCGAGATAGATCCACTTGAATGTAGGTATGTATGAACACATGCTAATCATGTGTTAATTACTAGGTAGGTAGGTAAGATCTAAAGGACCGATTAGCTAGAGGTATGGGGTTGGAAGTGGGAAGTGGAAGTGGAAAGTGGGTTGGTGTATGGATTTTGGATTGTGGATTGTGAAGTGGCATGGAGAAATATGTACCCCGGATTATGTACGCCGCGATTTTGGGGATGGGGGATTTGGAAGGTGGATGGAAGTTGAGAAGGGGAGTTATGGGGATGGGAGATGTATGATGTAATGAGAGAGAGGTTTTCAAAGTGGTGTGGGAATGGAAGGGGATGGGAAGGGATGGGGTGGAAAGGTATGGGAAGGTGAGGATTTATAGGTGGGTTGGGATTGGATTGGCGTTTAAGTGTGTGATGAATACTAGGTAGATGGTATGGTATTGGTGTTTATATGTATAGTGAACGCATTCTGGATAGATGGTGATGGAATTATTGGTTGATCTGGAGGTTGGAGGTTGGAGGTTGGAGGTTGGAGGTTGGGAATTTGGAATTTGGAATTTGGGAATCTGATGAGATGAGATTTGATGTGTTGTATGAGCGATCTGCGAGATGGAGAGGTGTGAATTGGGAAGGGTGTTCTCTGTAGGAATGTATGGGTTGATGTGTGGAGAGAGAGAGAGAGTGTGTGTGTGTGTGTGTGAAAACTGGACTTTGCAAGTTAAGTATAGGTAGGTAGGTAGGTAGATATCATGGATTTTTGAGTATTAGATACGGATATGAGTTTAGATATCTTCAAGAGATGTAGCATGTACAGTGGATCTCTGAGATGGCCATAGGAGTTCAGATTACAGAGGAGAATATTGTTACAAGTTGATGATGCTTGGGAAGTGAAAAGTGAAGAGTGGAAATTAGTAGGGATGAACAGATGATATGATGATATGATGGATGAAGAGAGGAGATGTAAATCTTCCTTACATTGTTCTCCTAGGTATCTTATATGACGTTTAACTACTCGATAGCTCATAGCTTGTGATTTGTAGTCTATGATTTGTTTGTGACTGTGATGTGAGTGCACATCCATTCACTTCTTATTGATATACATACCTACCTATTGAATGTCATATCATGCATAATGCATGAAAAAAAAGAGAGAGAATATTATTGGGGTTTGTGATGGTATATGTGAATTGGAATTGGAATTGGAAGTGGAAGTGGTGTTGGTATTGATGTTGGTGGTCTTGGTATTGGGAGGGGTAATGAGATCCAGAGGGATGGGATGCGGGAAGGAGTGTAATTGGGGGGTTGGAGGAGGTGAGGTAATGGGGATGGGGATGGTGATGGGGATGGGGATGAGAATTAGGATGGAGATATGGAAATGGAGATATGGAAATGGAGATGGAGATATGGAAATTGTGTTTTGGCTTTGGCTTTGGCTTTCTTTCCCGTGTATGATAGATGTGATGGGGGTTGATAGAGGAAATACATAATGGAGATGGTTGTAATAGGTGGTTTGAATACATGTCTACATGTACACACGTATATAATCACTATAGAATCGTCTAATGCCAAAAGATTCCAAGGGAGTAGATACAAACGCCAAGCTCAGTTTCATATTGCCCCGAGTCGGTAGTCGAGAACCCGTTGATATGAATGCTTCGGCTTTATTAGAGTATATGCAGCAACAAGTAAAGTAAAGTGAAATGAAAAGATATAAATATAAATATCAACCCAGCTCACCTGCACCGGTAAATACCCAGAATTCCCCTACAATGCAACAATATACACTTTGTTTTATTTTATTTTATTTTATTTTATTTTATTTAAGAAGAAGCAGACATCAATCACAATACAACAGCTAATAAAAACATCACATATGGATATCCATAACGTGATTTATCATCGAGTGGACCATATGATCGAGTGGGCCACTTCAAAATACACTAAAATTAAGGCTTTTTGAATATTCGTATTTTAATAATTAATTATTATTTTAGAAAAAGAAAAAAAGATTAAATAATAATAAAAGATTAGTTTTCTAAAAAATCTAGTTTTTATATAAATATTTTCATTTTATATTAAAAAAGTGAAAATTGTTATGATTTTTTGTTACAAAAAAAATATTCCTAATAATAATTCTTATATTAATTCAAATTTCTAATAAATAATAGATTTTTGTAGTATTTATATAATTAAATTTATAGTTTTAATTTTAAAAAATTCTATTAATAAATAAAGAAAATGCATGATTATATACAGACAAATTTTGTATGTAAAAATGATGGCCCACTCGATGATATAGTCCACTCGATGATAAATCACGTTATCTCAAGCAAACATTCAAAAGAGGAAACTCCTCATCCCCATCCCAATCCAGATCCCCACCAAACTTGTTTCCATAACTCAAGTTACACTACAGTTTTCGGAGATGTATGCATGCATGTGTACGATAGTAAGTATGCATCTATCCATTCATACATCATCGTATTGAGACATGTATCCACGCCAAGTGTGAAAGGTAGGAATGCAATAGGATGGAGTGGATGTTTTTGTCTGGGTATATATCTATCTCCTGTCTATCTTGGGCTTTGATTTTGTGTACAACGTACCTGGTATGCAGAGGAGGAGTAGAAAGCCGTCTTACTACATATGTTTATATATGTGTGTATGGTCTTGGTGTTTTGAGGTATGCTAGTTGGGCTGAGCTGATGGTTTTGTATGTGTAGGTGTGTTACCTGGATGAGAGATTTGGGAGGGAGAGGATAGGAGTTTAGTTTTTGTGTATTTTCTCCTCTTGAGAAGTCTAGATGAGGTACTAGAAGAATATGATTATATGATGGTTGATTCGTTAAAATAGTGAGGTGAGGAGAGGTAAAAGGATTGATGGGAATTGAGATAACTTTACTAGAAGGTTACTAGGTCATCCATCATACAACCATGTAAAAAGTTCAAAATTAGAAGATATTCTTAACAAGGTCTACCTATTCATCGAAAATCAGGAGTCGAATATTGAAGATGAGAATGAGAGTAGTCTATTTAGAAGGACAGATTTTACCATGATAGATATATGTATATATATTCTTATATATGTCTAGATACACTTTCTTACTTCTCTTGTATGAAATTTGATTGGGTAAACTTGGAAATACCAATACTAGATACCTATACCATAGTCACCGGATCCGAGAAACCGATGAGAGAAAAAGAACATGGACATCCAGTCATCACATCTAGACCAATCGTTGGCAATTCCTTTATATTTTCTCTTGAATGTCACTACTAGGTATGTACTTGAGTGTATTGTGTGCTTCTGGGTAAGCTCGAGGTAAGGTACCTACCTACCTAGTACTCACAAATCTTTGAATACATCGAGATACGTACTTATTGGTAAACCTTGCTATGCCGAGTCCCGAGTCCCGAGTCCCGACCTTCCTTAAGAGTGGTATTGTATTATATCTAAGGACTCTTTAACCTTTTGATTGTTAAATACTGGGTAAATACTAGGTAAATACTAGGTAAATACTAGGTAAATAGATAATACAAATAATAAATGCTGTACTCAGTATTACCTTTCTAATTGTTTTCATGGTAATACTCGATAATAAGTATACCGAGTACTCTAGGTGTCTATCAATGTCAGTGTCAGTGTCAGTATCAGTATTCGCATCGGTATTAGTATTAGTATTAGCATCAGTTTCATTTCTTCTTTTGTTCTTATTTTACTTCTCTTCTCATCCCTTCACTCATAACACACTAGTAATATACTCTAATACCGGTACCCTCTCGATCTTCACCCTTCACTCTTCTCAAGGCGACCCTTTTCTCCGCACTTTTAACTTTTCATCTGTGACTTGTGGCTCTGATTTCAGTTCCAATTCAATTCCAATTCAATTCCAATTCCACTCCCACTTCGATCTTGAATTCTACGCCACATTGATACATACATGTATTATACTCATAACTCAAATACCTACTAGTACTCACTCTTCGTGAAATGAATACACTCCCCCTAGCACGTACCTCGATAACTTACCCAATAAATTCGAAATTCTTTTGAAGCCTGAATTGTGACAGGTGAAAAAGAAAGATGGAAAGAATAAAAGAGAGTAACCCATCTCTTTCTAGGGTGGCACACACTTGGAAACTCTTTTGCACTGAGCATTAGTACCTAGTACCTACCTACTAGGTACCCACTCACACTCACTCTGTACATGCATCACCTACCACCACCCACCACCCACCACCCACCACCACCCACCATCCACCATCATCCACCTATCACACTTCATTCAGCTTTCCCATCTCTCGTGAAAAAAAAAAAGAGGAGCTAAAAGCGCTATTTCTTTCCGTAAAAGGCTGGGCTGGGGTCACACTCATTTCTTTCCCCCCTCCCCCCCCGTTCACTTTCTCCCCCCCAAATCAAATCATAATCCCAGTCATCCCAGTCTTTCCAGTCATTCGATTCCTTCCATAACTTCCCCAAGAAAAAGACGATTCCCTTTTCCCCACACCCTAAATTCTAGGTCGAACATCCATCCATCTTCATTCATTGTCAGCAAGCAGCAGTCTTTCAAAGCCGATCCGACCCATTCATTCTATTCACCTTGCCATACCATACCATACCATACCATACCACCACCACCTCCTCCTCCTCCTCCCGCCTTCTATCTCGTGCGCGCGCTGCCTCTCAATTACTATTCTCGATCCTTCAACCACGTGCTGCATTATACTGGACAAGGGAATGCTTCTCAGCTTTGCTTTTTGCAGGAGATTCTTCATCGTCCAATGGGCATGCCAATTTCTATCCACGAAAACCCGGTGATCATTAACGATCTCGACTCACATCAAACCCATCCTCACATCCTCCAACGTTCATTAATTCACCACGCCAACCGGTCGACCAATTCTATTACACTATGGTAATCGCCATGACCTGGCACAAGCCCGATAACGTCGCCGGCTCATCGGCGCCGGCTATCATGATAGGGTTATTCGTCGCGACAGGAGGTCTCTTGTTTGGTTATGATACGGGGTGAGTAACTGGCACGGGAAACAATTCAAGACTCGATGAAAAGCTGATAGATGGGATTAAAGTACAATATCGGGAGTGGTGGCAATGCGTGCCTTTCGCGAACAATTCTCAACGGGTTACGTTGATCCTTCCGACAATGAATTATCCATCACGCCGAGTCAATCCGCTCAAATCGTTGCAATCTTGAGTGCTGGAACATTCTTCGGAGCATTACTTGCTGCGCCCATGGGCGATAAAATTGGTCGACGGATATCTCTCATCATTTCTGTCGGTATATTCTGTATTGGGGTGGCACTTCAGACTGCTGCAATGCAGATTCCGATGCTTATTGCTGGAAGGTATATTGCATGATTTTGAATATAGAATACAAACAGACAAGACTGACCCTTCTATAGATTCTTTGCGGGTCTAGGCGTTGGAATTATTTCTGTTCTCGTTCCTCTGTATCAATCAGAGATGTCACCGAAATGGATTCGCGGAACTCTTGTATGCACATATCAACTTGCCATCACTTGTGGGCTTCTTCTCGCCGCCGTCGTCAACATATTTACCCAAAGTATTGATGGGCCAAAAGCTTTTCGAATTCCTCTTGCAATACAATTCGTTTGGGCAGGCATTCTCTTCCTCGGCCTTGCTTTATTACCCGAAACACCTCGCTATCTCATCAAACGTGGTCAACATCAGGCAGCTGCTTCATCTTTAAGTCGCCTTCGTCGCCTTGACATAACGCATCCTGCTTTGATAGAAGAATTGGCGGAGATTGAAGCGAACCATGAATATGAGTTGAGTTTAGGTTCTTCATCATATAAAGATATTTTCCTCGGCTCGCCGCATTTAGGTCGTCGACTTCTAACCGGTTGCGTTCTACAAATGCTTCAGCAGTTGACTGGTTGTGTAAGTACATTCCTTCCAATAGTGAATTAAATTACTAATAATCTGAATAGAACTTTATCTTCTACTAGTGAGTATTATTAACGTTACTCTTTGTAGTATCGCATGCTTTCATTGAAATAATGCAGTGACTGACTAGCTACTATAGTGGTACGACTTTCTTCAAGAATGTCGGAATTTCGTCACCTTACGTAATTCAACTTATTTCAAACATAGTCAATACTGTCTCAACCATTCCTGGAATGTTTCTAGTCGAATCACTAGGTCGTCGTCGTCTTCTTATGCTAGGTGCAGCAGGAATGGCAGTTTGTCATTTCTTGATTGCATCGGTTGGAACTGCAGCACACGAAGAAGCGAGAGCAGTGAATTTAGTAATTATTGTATTTGTTTGCCTATTCATCTTCTTTTTTGCTTCATCTTGGGGACCAGTCGTTTGGGTCGTCACATCAGAAATCTTCCCATTGAAGGTTCGAGCCAAGTCCATGTCGATCTCCACCGCTTCGAATTGGCTTCTCAATTTCGCCATCGCTTACAGCGTTCCATATATGACCAGCAGCGGACCTGGTTATGCAAATCTTCAAGCAAAGATATTCTTTCTTTGGGCTTGCTTTTGTGTAATCGCGTTTGCATTCGTATGGGGGATGGTATACGAAACAAGCAAAATCAGTCTTGAGCAGATTGACGAGTTATATGAACGAGTCGACCATGCTTGGCATAGTAATAACTTTGAACCTAGCTGGAGTTTTCAAGAAATGCGAGATGAAGGCGCATCTGCAAGTGGAATCCAACTACAGCTACAACTTGCTGATCAAGAAGAACCGAGGAGACGGACAGGTACAAGTGCAAGTGCAACGGGAAGTGAAGGTACCATGTCTGAGGAAGATAAAATCGTTGCGGGATTAGGAGACGTGGATTTGAGTTATTAGTGAATTTTCGAGAGCTATTCAAGGCTATGGGTATTTTAAGTACAGTATTATATTATGTTTCAAGCGACGGAGTTTATTGCTGTTGGAGTTTTATGGTATGGAATGGAATGGAATGGATGGATGGATGGTAGGATGCTTTGCCTATGGAATGCGTATGAATTGCGTATGGTGTAGGGTGGGAAATGAAATATGGTTGGCCTTTGGGGTTGGGTTGGGAATTGTGATTGGGGATCTTTCTGGACGAACGGGTCTACAGTATCTACCGCGGGCGAAATTTGGGGAATGTTCAAGAATGGGGATGGGATGGGGTTTATACCAAATGCAATGTAAATGAGCATATGTTGCCCAATAGCGATGTAGGGCGATATATATGATATATCGGATAAGAACTAGCTGGCTACTTGAGCCAGATCAGATATTATCTGAACTGGATCGATATGGGTTGGTCTAGCATGGGATGGGGGGTTTTTCGTGCGCATATATGAAAATGATTTGATACTTGTGGGTGTGTATGAAATGATAATTCTTTTTTATATGAAAATTAAAATGATGATGTTTAATTGTTAGTGCTTGCTTATATGTGTCTAGGTTTGTGTCGATTTGAATGAGCAGTCAAGATGAGGAAAGAAGTCTTATATTAGGGGTTATTGCTAAAATAACGAATGAAAGAACGATCAATATCTAGATATACAAATCCCCATCCATCCACATTTACATCTCCTGCTTCTCCTTCTCTTCCTACGTCCACTTTTCCCCTTTCTCCATTCTTCGAAGAGTCCACTTACGAAACCGGCAGTGTTCCAAATAAGTCTCGCGTCTTGCGAAGGGCTTCCATAGGATTACGATGCGGTTTAGATTCAGAGGACGGGGTGGACTGGGACTTGGGTTTGGGCTTGGATGTGGAATTGGGATTGGGATTGGGAGGGGGGTGGGAGGTGGTGCTAGAGGTGCTAGAGGTGCTAGAGGTGCTGGATCGTGAGGGTGGAGGAGGAGGAGGCACGGAATGGAGACGAGGAGATGGGTGTTTGTGGTGGGGATTGGTGGGGGCGGGGGTGGGGGGTTGGGAGGAAGCTCTTTTTAATTCGTGTGGAGGTTTGGAGGTGGAGGTGGAGGTGGAGGTGGAGGTGGATCGGGATCGGAATTCTAAATTTTCGGGATTGGTTCTTCTTTGGGAGGAGTCTCGGGGGGTTCTGGTTCTGGTTCTGGTTCTGGCAGGGAGGGATTGCGATCTTGAGGGATGAGATGAGGAAGAGGAAGAGGAGGATAATGCTAATTCCCTCAAACAATACTTACGACGTTTTGAACGCGCGAGATCTTGTCGGCCGCGCTCGTAGAGCTCCGAGATGTCGATGGAGTGGTTGTCGTTGTTGGGGGGATTGTTTTTGTTGCCTCGCTTTTTCGAGGGGGGGATGCTGGTATTGATTGTGTGGAAGATTTGGGCCAGGAAGGTGGAGAGGGTGAATTGCTGGGGTGGGTGGGGGGTGTTAGTTGGTGGGGTGGGGAGGGGAGGGGAGGGGAGGGGAGGGGGAAGGGAAGAAAGGAAAAGAAGAAAAAAACATACCGGACCACCCTTCTCCTTCGATCTCTCATACAAATCCTCGTATTCCCGCAACAAAACTCCATCTTCCAAGATGGTGATATTTTCCCTCCACCATATGCATGGGATGGCGGGTTGGTTAATATCGACTTCGTATTCTTCCCAGCGTTTGGAAAAGTGCGATCGATTGATGCTGGCGGCAAAGTGGGGACTGGGGGTTTGGGAACCTTTGGGGAGGGGGTGCAGATGTACTGTGGGAGGTGGAGGAAGGGATGAGTTGTGGGGGGGAGGAGAGAAGCTGAGATATTTGCCGTGGGCATGCAGAATGTTGTTTTTGGTGGTGAGGGAGCCGTGGGTCCAGGAGAAGAGGATGGGGTCTTGGGGTTGGGTTTGGTTTTGGGTTTGGGGGGAGGAAGAGGAGGGATGCGGATTGGGGATCAGGTAGAGACCGGATTTGTTGGGGCCAGAGTGGTTGGTTAGTTTTAGGAGGGTGAGGGTTTCGTTCCAGATCCAGGATTCTTGGGAGCTGCTGGGTGGGGGTTTGGTGACTTGGAGGTGGATTTTGAAATTGGGGTTGGCACTGGAAGACAGGGGGGTTTCTGGGGGGTTTTGGGGTTGGGATCTGGATTTCTTGGTCTTGTGGGCTTTGAGATTGAGACTCTCGAGCCAGAGGAGGAAGAGTGGTGGGAGAAATAACTATTGTTGATGGGATTATGTTAGTAGGTGGGTGAGGAAACTTTGAGTGCGTATCTTCCCAAAGGGATGGTACAAGTTGAATCGTCTATAGATATCATAACATCATCATCATCATCATCGTAAAATCCCATCATACAGCAACACATAACAACGCAAAACATACCTCATCAACCGGAATCTCCTGTCTCCTCACCCTCTCCCCAAACTCCCTCAACAATCTCCTCATCCCAATACTCTCCTTCACGACCCCAAACTCCTTGACCCGCTTCGTCACCATCGCTTCGCCATTATCCGAATCGGGACAGCGCTCCCATATCTGCGGTGGAGCATCTAATTCCCGGATCTCGAAATCGTAGAGTTCGCGTCGGGAATTTTTTGAGTGGGAGGGCGGGGAGGAGGGGGAGGAAAGTCGTGATTCGAGAATCTTTTGTTCGTGGAATGGGATAATGTACCAGTTTGTCCGTGTTTGGAGGTAAATGCACCATGGTGTGGAAATGCCGCGTTTGGAGAGGTTTTGATGCAGCGTTTGCGTGTAGTAGAGGGTGCAGGTGGGGATTTCGGGGGGTGGAGGGGGGGGTGACATTTCTTGGAGGGGGGGGGGGGGGAATTGAGATTTTGGTGTGTGGAAGAGAAGGAATGAGGAATTTGGAGAGGTAGGGGGGGGTTTTATATGGATATGTGGAAAGGTAAATCTAACTACCAACATCTCATCGCGGTCATACGGTCATAAGGTCATAAGGTCATAAGGTCGTGAGTTTGGATGTTGGGGCTCGAGACCTGGACGGGGCCGCGCTGGTGTATGGCCATCCTGTCTTTGAGAAAGGATGTTGAGGTCTACGGTTGGGAATTTTACGAGAGTTTGTGGTTGTGTTTGGAGATTGTTTTTGTGTGTTTTTTGCTTGGTGATAGTCGGATTTCATGGGAGTGGGAATTGGGAATTGGGGGGTTTGTGGAATGTTAGAAGTGTTGGATTTATGGGATTTTTACGGGATAGTGCTGTGGGATTGAGGTAGACGAGGTAGATGGGAATATGTAGAGGGAGGATGAGGTAGGGAGAGATCTTCATCGTAGATTTGCTTATGTGGATTAGCTGTAAAGATTGAGTCTGAGACTTCACCCTTTCGCTAATATCACCATGCTGTAATCTGTAATTCGAATAGATAGGTAGAGAAGGAGGAAGTTAGGACAAGTAGATTTTTAGCCGAGGTGAAATTTGATCGTCTCCTTTGCGGTGCTTGGGAAGAGCTGCATTATATCTCTGCTGGCTACTCGTCAGCTTACCTAGATACATGATGGATAGATATTCTTCGAGTACTTGATAAGAATGAAGCGATGGAATCAGGATCAGGGTGTCCAATAGTCCGGGCTGCAATCCACAATGGAGATTATCAAATCCCTAAACTATTTGGAACAATCGACTTATCTGAGATATTGGAATTGATTGGAAGATGGAACTAATTCCAATGTTCTAATTGCTTTTAGATGTTCAAATCTTATATCGTTAAACTGTACTTTGGACTATTAGATACTCAGTGATGGATTACATACGCCATACACTATTTCCTTTTCTTGAACTACAGATGTGAATCAAATGCACCAATTATAACCAACTAAATACCCAAAACGGATATCTAATTCCAAAAAGCCTTATTGTTATAGTGCATCCGGCATTGCTCTCGATCCGTCGTAAGATTTTCAATAAAATCACTCTAAAGATAAGATTTCCAGCCCGTGCACTCCAACTAGCTCCGGGTATTTAGTTCACATCCACGCAGGGTATCAACACCCGTGACCACTCAAATCATCTCATCCCCAAGCGCCATCGATATCATTTTCGTACCATTTCCTAATTCTCTCTAGTTCTTACTCTGCACCCTCAGAAAGCTTCATCCCCGCACCTTCATTGGCTCTATCCTCAATACCTCACTCAACCTTTCACATCGACATGCAGGCTCAGCGCTTAAATCAGCTCTTCGTGATGATTCCTCATTGGAAGATGGAATTCTTTTCACCCCTCCTTCACACCTCCCTTGTGCACCCATCTCAAATGTGCCTTTCCGTTATATTAATAAATCATGGATGGCCAGCCGTTCGTAAGCTCGTTAATGAAGATTTCTATCCTCTGGGAACTTGAAGAGACGACGTTCTGATTTCTCCATCTTTCGATGCCTGTTCGATATCGACGGTGTATAATATAATTACATTATTTGATCGCTGGCGATTGACTCATATATCATTACGCACATATTGAACGAAGTATCTCCATCTCTCCAGCTTATTCTCGCATCACGATAACCCGAAGTCTTACCTCCCGATCCATTCGCGATATTCAATACATTCATCATGGTTTTCGGATGTTTTTCTTCACCTATCATGAAGCGGAAATGGAAGTTTCCCAAGGTTATTATCTGGCTTAATGTAATCGAACTCGCGGGCACCGTCGCAGCACTCGTCATGTTCGGTATCGCAGATCCAGATTTATATCGAACGAGAATGTGGCAAATTGGTTACGATAATGGATTTAATAGTAGCCCGGATGAGATTTTGTATGCCTATGCAAATTATCGTCCGCTGCCAAAGATTGCTTTTGTTTGGAGTCAGGCGTGAGTTTTATTTCTTTCGTCGGAGGATATTTAAGATGAGAGAGTATGTTGAGAAGAATACAAGCTGATGTCGTACTTTTTGAATAGATTACAAAATTTCAATATTGGAATCTCGGTTCTTTCTATGTTCATCCAGCTTTGCAAAGTGGTCATGTTCATTATGCACATTTGGTATCCTCTTCTCTCGACTGTTATAAATGGACTTCTCACAGTCTGTTGGATTGTCAGTATATACGGACAAGCCGGACCAGATCATACGGATCCAAAACATCCAAGTAATGTGGCTTGGTATGTTGCGAAGAGTTGTTCATATGCTGCACCTAGTGGAAATGAACATTATTGTCAAATGGCAAAGGGAACTTTTGCTGTTACGGTATTTATGATGTATGTCATAAGATTTTGAATTATATAATCTATGAATCCAAAACTTACAAATCAACAGGGTTGTCTATCTCGCAAACACAATTCTCGGTATTCACTCTCTAATTCCTTCACGCCTCGAACGTTCAGTCAATGCACTCGATCTCGAAGATAATATCGAAACATCTACCAAAGCGGGCAAGAGAGTAAAGACGACAGATTCTCCGGATTCTGAGAGACAATGGGAAATGCAGAATATGCAACAAAGTATGGATTATTCCAAACAACCTTTTACACCAAGAACTTTGGCTTTCAAATCTTTGGATAGACAATTACCTTTGAGGGCTACTTCGGCACCGAGATTTGCGTAAGTTTTGTTGTGGATTTAGGCAGGGAGTTGGTGATTTGATTTTATTGGGGGTGGGGTGATTTTTTACAATTGTCTAATTGAAAGGCATCATGTGGGAAGCAAATAAGACTACAATTTCGGGACGAATTTGTTTCATGAATTGGACCGGCCAGAAAATGGACCGGCGAGAAGGAAGCACAAGCAAGAATCGGTACGGAGGAGCGAACGTCGATTGAGATACCATGGGAATGAGAAGGAATTTGTACAATGTGTTTCAATGTTCACGAGATACTGGGGTTTTGTTTTTTGCTTCTATGTTTATATCATTTGGGTAGTTTGATAGGTAGTATCCTACCATTGTTCAGGTTATGGGATTTCTGATTCAATATTTAAAGGATCGCCGTGTGGCAGTTTTGAGGAGTGTGAATTGTGATTGCGAACTGAATCATGAAAGTTTGAAGGATGATGAAAATTGATGGTTATGGTGTAATGAGGGTATAAGGATATATTGAAGAATTATTTCAATAGGTAAGTACCTCGAGAAACGGGTGAATGGATCGTGAAATATTTCAATTACATAATCTGGCCAATACCATTGATGGATCCCAAATATTTCAAACTAGTGACTGTGGTCGACCAATGTAATCGCTGGATCCTAAATATTTCGAAATATTTCGATTATGTAAGGATAAGAAGCCAATTGGAGGAGTGGATTTGAAATATTGCGACACACCACCATGATCAATCAATCACCCTTTACCTATTGCTAGGAGCCTAGGTAGGTAAGTACTTCAATTGTAATTGAGGTGGTTGATGATGTGAGGTAGGTAGGCAGGGAGGTATGGATTTTTTGAAGAGGGGGGAAAAGAATTGTTTTGTGGTGAGTATGGAATTATGGGAGGGGTGAGGAGGGAGTGGAGGTGAGGAGGAAGAGGAAGAGGAATGAGTAAGGAGAATGAATGAGCGAGTAGGTGGGTAGGTGAGATGAAGATGGAGAGGAAGGAGGAGGGCTAAAATTGAGGAGGGATAATAAAGATGAAGGAGTGGTAAAATGTAAGGGGGAAGAAGAAAAGTAGGAGAATGAGGAACGGGGAATGGAGAATGAAGGGTGAAAAGAGAAAGGGGAATTATATCTCGAAAATTTATTGTGGGATGGTTGGTGGTTTGTGATAGGACAGTGGTTCGAGTTTTAAATCGAGGTCTTGATGGATGGCAAGAGATGTTTGTATGATGGTTTATGTTAGAAGGGTGGGGAGATGGTGGAGATGGTGGCGGTGATGGAGATGAAGGGTAGGTTGTTCAATTATCCGGGGTCTTGGATACCTATCCTAAGTGAGAGATGGGTATGGATTGGAATCGTAGAAGTGAGGTTTTATGGAGGATTTCAAGGATTGAGATAGGTGGATGGAGATGGGGGAGAGCGTTAGGGCGGATTAGGCTGATGATCTGATGTAAATTATTGGAGTTGGGGGAATGGGGTGGAGTGGCTAGATCTTCATTCGAGTGTTTGTTTCTCTTATTCATATAGTGGGTGTATGTCGTGAAGAATTGAAGATTGATGGTTAATAGGAGTCATTGTAGTTAGTACGAGGGTGTATCTGAAAATGCGAGGTTGGTTGAGATGATGGGTATGGTTTATACAGCTTGGATTGAGCTTTAGTGGTAGAGATAACAGGGACAAGACGGGGGATTTTGTTTGAGTAAGAAACAGAGGAGGTAGAAATGAAAAGATCTAGGTAATGGGGAGGAAATCGGCGGGGGGAGGGGGAAAGGAGGGGGTTTGGAAAAGAGCAGACAGGATAGTGGAGAACTCGGGGATTTGAGGAAAGTAGAGGAATGACGAGGTGAGAATGATAGGAGAGATGGATGAGAAAGTGGAAGTGAAAATGAAAGTGGAAGTTAAAGAGAAAATGGAATATACAATGAAGAGGGGGGGATGAGGGGGACGGATAAGTAGAATTGGATTCATGATGAAAATGAGAAATTTACTTGGATGGGAATACTGTGGGGGTATGGAGGAGGAGGTTTGAGTTAGAGATGATGATGATGATGATGATGATGATGATGAAGTTAACCAGAACCAAAGCAAGAGCGTGAGAGTTCACGAGATTCGGGATGAATGGAATGAAATGGAATGTTATGTTACTAGATATGTAAGTAGAAGGATGCAAGAAGATACAATATCTCGATATGAGTAGCATTGTGGATTTACCTTATGTCGTGTCGAGCTCTCGAATGTGTTGGATCGAAGGGAAGGGTCTTGGACTGTAGATGTGTGATCTCTTTTTGAAGTTTTTTTGCTATATGATTATAGTGCGGATGGGGTGGGTAGGTAGGTAGGTCGTCAACACCTAAAGTTCATAATGTATTGCATTCCGTATAAGTATTATATTACAACATATCACAACACATCAACAAACAAACAAAATCCATTTTAACCATCTTGTAAAATTGAATTCAATTTTGTTCAATGCATCGCAACGCAGCATATGCATCTATTAAGGTAGAGAAACAAATCAGAAAGAAACAAACCTGAAAAGAGTCCATCTCGAAGAGTGGAATCAAGAAGAAGTGAAAACTATCTAGCCCCCTCCCCCATCATCCAGAAATCCAGAATTTCAATAAATAAATAAGTAAGTAAGAGAAATGAAGTAAGCAAGTTTAAACCCCTCTCTATGCAACATGTTGGAATCCCGAATTTTCCACACGCAACGAATAGAAAATAGAAAGTAGAAAGTCGAGAAGTAGAAGAGTGGGACAAATGACAATAACTTAATACCAGCAATTTTGCTCTCTTTCTCTCTACTTCCATTCCCAATCCCTAAACTCCGACACACCCAGCAAAGCATCAAAAAAGAAAAGAGGAAACTAAATCAAACCAACGCCAATAACTTAAAATCAGCAAGCAAGTAAATTTCAACTCTTTTCCTATGCTCCAAACTCCATCCATGTGTGTGTGTTTGTGTAACTATCTATGCATCTATTTTTCAAAAATAAAATAGAGTAAATGAGAGTGAAATAAATAGAATGAAAATGAAATGAAATGAAAATCTGACCAAGGAAATAAATGATTGGATAGATGTAGATCTTCGCTCCTCCACGGATTGAGATCTGTGCTGTGGTGTGGATATCTCATTAGAAGGGAAATGTATTATGATGTATCGTATCCCACCGTATCGTATCGTATCGTATTGCACAACGCATCTCTTTTTTCCCCAAAAAAGGAAGGAAGAGAAATGAAGAGAAAAAGATGAACAAAGAAAAAAGTATCAGTGTGTAAATGCCTTCAGCTAGCGAGAAGAGCTTGCTTTAGCTATCTAGGTAGGTTGTGTAGGTATCGTTGTTGATCATGTTTCAGAAGTGGTTTTGTCGAAATCGATATCCGTGTTGTTGAAGTCTAGTCGAGGAGTTCATCGAGGATAATATCGTAATTCCCTTCTTCTATGTCATGAATCGAAAACTCTTTTGTTCAACCTGAGGATTGGATGATCGGAGCAAGGTTGAAAGATCTACCTAGGTATGCTTGTTGGATGTAGGATATGTGTGTCATTTAGTATCCGAAGTGCATCATTGATGAATGATGAAATCGATGAGATCAAAGCCCAGCCGACAAAGCAAAGCAATAAACCCAACACCACCAATACCATCAAAGACCAAAAGCCGATTACCAATGACCTCTAAAGGTAGCCGGTACACCATGTCCATTAATCCGATCTACGCGGAAAGAATCCCACTCGCTATGTTTTCTTCCACTCTCAATCCACAACTTATCCTGGACCGTCGCCGCACGAATTCCATACGCGCCTCTTCTTCCCAACGCCTGACTACTAATTGGTCTCTGCACCTCATCGATTTCATGAAAGATGTCATGAGCCTCATCAAGTCTTCTCTTGTCATGTAGATTTCGAGCTAAACCTCTGATTCTGCTGCCCTGAGGTGTACTCTTGAAAGCGTCGAGAAATTTGCCTATATCGTTGGTATTCCATTTTCCTGGATGTCTGGGATCATTGGAGGTGCGTTCCCAACACCACGCTTTGATGATGGTCAACTTTTCTAATTTGTAGTGGTCGTTTTCCTGGTTTAGGTATTGGAATAATTTGCAGGCTTGACAGACTGGTTGGTCGATCGGATCGAGTTTGTAGTTTCGGATCATCTGGTAGGAGAACCAGACTCCGGGGAGGAGATGTCCGCATTGACAACACAAGAAACCTTCTTCCATCCTAGAGAAGGGTGCTGTTAGTTTGATGATATATGAATGATGGGGATATCCAAAGAAAGAGAGTGATAACATACCATTTCACACCTTCGGTTTTATTTGCAATACCTCTTCCTTTCAACGCCTCGTGATATTTCTCAACCCTGCCACCAAAATCTCCATATGCAACATGGGCGATAACATGATCGACTGTTACGTTATCATCCATCAGGATCTTGAGGGTTTCCTCTACCAACATACAAGGCGACTTATCCAACCATTGTCTGAACATCGTATGTTTAGAAACAAAATCGATACCCTGAGCTCTTGCCTGACGAAGAAGACTGTGAACTTCCTGCCAGATTGCAATCCGAATATCAGCAACATGCATACCAGGATCATCCCAAGTAACACCATATGAATACTCTCCCCCTAATCTTCTCTCTCCTTTATGATCACCTGCTTGATGGAAAGGATGAGGACCAACATGGTATACTGGATAAAAATCTAAATCGACTTGGTGTTCGCAACCTCGAAGACGGTCTCGCGTGATGATATCAAGGAGTTCGATACCATCGCCGAGATGAATCAATTCACAGTTGTAAACACCGAGAGTTTTGAGTTTGCGTATTTCGGGAATGACCAAGGCGAGAATGTGGGTGGTGAGGAAGGGAATGTGATGTAATTGGATGTTTTGAAGAAATTCACTGAAGTTATGCATAGCCATACCTGATGAGGGTATATTAGTAATTTGATCCGATTTGAACAAGCGAGGGAAGAAAAGAACTTACACATCTTATTCAAGTTCTTGATTTGGGTAACATAATTGATAGGATCTGTATCCCTAGTAGGTGTGACCACAACAACTGAAGATGCTCTACCATCGAATTCATTGCCCTCTATCGGTGCATCGCAGCCTTCAAAACAACCTCCAGTCATATCCCAAATGCCCTGTAAGTATCAGTCAGCCATGTACCTAGTGCATCAACTATAATATAAACTAAAACTCACAGTAATAGCCATCGCAACTTCCCATGATCTCTGACTAGTTCGACAGAGGGCAGAAGCATTGCTATGGTTTTCCCAAATGAATCTGAGAAGAATGACATCGATACCTTCTATTTGAAGTACTCTGATCAATGTACTTTGCGCTTGATTATGTTTTGGATGCTTGAACACATTTTCTCTCCAGTTGAAAACAAATGGTCCCTAAAGTACATAGTTAGAATAGAATCATTATAAATAATGCGTAAGAAATCATACCAATGAAGCCACCCTCTTAAATCTATCTTTTTCACCCGTGAAAGGCCAGTTGACTAAATTGGGAAAAGGCTCTGGTTCTGTGGCTACAGGTCCATCGTCCCAGGCATTTGCTGCAATAGCATCTTTCTCAGAAAGTACCGTAGGTTGAAGACCCCAGTCAAGGTTTGCCACAGCATCGTTGGGATTCTCTTGTTCGGGAGGAGTTGGAAATGCAACATTAGTTGGTACTGTAGCCCAAGGACTCTTAGTAGCTGGTGGACTTGTCACCTTAGCAGAAACTGCAACATCTGGATTTGGAGGAGCCGCCGGTGTGAGGATTGTAATCGCTCTCTTTTTAGTGCACCATGGAACTTCAACTGATTTGAGTGCAGGATTGATGGCATATGCAGGGAGCGTAGACCATTTTGCATTTTCGGGTACAGTAGACCATGCAGCTGGATCCGGATCAGAAGAAGCCTGGAAATTGGCGGTCCCAGGAAGAGGAGGATGTTCCCAAATGGATCCTCTGGCAGGTACAGAATTATTGGTGTAATATCTCAAAACGAATGTATCTGAAAAGGAACGCTGAGCAAATGCAGTTTCAATGGGATTGTCAATTGTCTCTGCAGGATTTTTCTTGGCAGTGTTTGCAGATTTACCACCAGCTTGTGTTTTTTGATGATCCAGAGAAGGCCAGATCCATGTATTTGTTTCATTGGGAACTTTAGGAACTTCAGGGACGAATTTCACTGGGGCTTGCTTCCAGATTGCTCCTTTCTTCGAAGTAGGTGTTGCACATGTAGTCCATTTACCACTATGTTGACCCTCATTGGCCTTGGCTTTAGGTTTATTTTTGTTACCCATAATAAATGGTGTATCAAAGGTCTAGCAAAAGTTAGAATAAAACTTCCCCTACTGGATAATGGTGCTGGTGCTGGTGGCCGAAGATAAAAACCAGGGGAAGGGCAGTATAGCACATGACGAATCTTGGGAAATGATCAATGTGACCGAAAGAAAATAAGGGGCAGCGTTTTCGAAGGACAAACACGCTTCACCAAAAACTTACAGGTATTTAACTGTTCAATCTATGCAATGCAAGTAATTCTTGAATCGACAAGCAAGAAATACTTAAAATATCAAGCAAATGTGATAAGACCAGTCGAAGTTATGAACAAAAATGGTGCCTGCTTTGTTCGGCACAGCCTGAAAAACGTATAAGCATCAAATCTACAGTGGAGAAAATCCTCTAAAAGGTGAAGTGCGGGGTAATGATGGAGAATGGGATGATGATGAAAACGATTCGAGGATGAAAATCGTGAACAAGCTATAAAACTAGGGGCTTTGGAAGAAGGTGCGACTTTCTGGATGGAAAGAGGAAGGGCATATGTTTGGAGATGGGTCTGTGGGGGTACATGTAAAAGATACTTACAGATATCTATGTACTTCGAAATTCCCTTTCAAGAAACAACAGTGTCACTTGTGAAGAAGATAGTTTTAATTCTTTATGAATCAAAATGACAAGCCTTATCCGAGGTCTGCCAAAGAGATAGAGGTCAAGGGAATTAAGAGAGATGTCTCAAAATTGGAGGTAAAAGAGGGTGCACGTCTTGAAGCTATCAAGAAAAGGAGATAGTAAACGTAAGAGTGCAAAGAAGTAATAGCCAAGTAAACTTGCAAAGATCAAGAAGCTATCAAGTAAGACGTGGATGAAAGTTAAGGGTTCGGGTCGGGTTCGAGATGGAAGGATAGAAGGATGGGAGATAGAGGTAGAAAGAAGAGGATGGATAGAAGGCTCAGAAGAAGATAAGGGTCCAGGTCAAGAAGAGTCAAATAGCATGCTTCAAACCATCGGGGTCATTCGGACGTGAACCCCGGGGTTATCTATTTATGGAACAAGAGAAAGCGGGGTTGAATGGTAAGATATCCACTGTGCAACGACGAGGTGGATATTTGCAGTGAATGATATTGACTGTGAATCATATTTGAGGAATTAGTGAATGCTAGATCAGGCAGCGACGATTACAATAATCTTGTGTTGCAGTTTAAGAGAGAAGTAAAGAATATCCAAATATGTTTATCATGTATTGGTTCACTGACAGAGAGCCAAGCAGATTTTGATGACTACTCCTCAAAGTGTTTATGCCCATCATAGAAATCCATTGTCATCTCACATGAACTTAGGGGAGCACTTTAAGTATACAATACAGTATCATGTAGTGTATTTCAAGGCTTGGAAAACATGTATTTCCTGCTAGCTTGATTTGAGTCCTCAATTCCAGAACAAGACATTTCATTTGACTTCAAGACCCTTCACTGAAATTGCCGTTTTCTCCCGAAGTTTTGATCTAGATCAAGTAGTATTTTCACGTCAGCCACATGGAAAAGTTAGACAAGAAGATTCGCCAGATGTTCAGAAGTGACATCAGCATCTCCCTTCCCCTTTCAATACTAGGTAGGTACTGCAAATTCTTTCCCCTATAAGATCCTGACTTTTCAAAGAATCAAGAACTATGAATCTTGTTTCAATACAAACGAGATGTGCTCTCATAATATCCATCTCGAGATAGAAGGGTTGACTTGAACATCATCTTCAGGATAATGATGGCCATGGAGCCTCCCATAAATACCAACTGCTTGAACCGTGAAAAGGTTTGACTGCGTACGGAAGTGAATGTGACAAGCAAAAGTAACTCACACAACATGGACACTTGAGAGGTAATCTTAACAAAAAAACATGCTTCATATAACAAGTAACAGTCAAACAAACTCCAAAGAAACACCCCAGACCAGTGAAGAGCATTAAATATCAAGGAAATCAATACAGCAACCTTCTAATCACCACCAGCAACTTCAGTCCACAAAGAACCCCATTCCAAACAGTCCAAAAACAAAAGAACATCAATTCATCCATAGCAACACCACACTAAAAATAAGCCTGACAAGAATGCTCACTCGTACAACTCTTTAACAGTAACCAGCAGAGGAGATCTCATCTTGATTCATATCAAGGATATGAAAATGAATCCAAGTTGTGCAACTTTCAAAAATGTCATGGAGTATGTATGTATGGTCTTATCAACATCGAACGAGAGTTCTGAAAATATCATGAAATAAGGGCAGTGTTGACAGAGACAGTAATCAATATGTGAATTATCTTGATACAAACATCTCCCTTGTTAAAGAATTCCACAACTGGATTTCAAAGCAATTACAACGTAGATGGCAGCAAGAGCAATAGCAATAGCAAGAGCAACAGCAACAGCAAATTCAAAAATAAATTGATCTCACCAGCATCAAAAAAAAAACCCAAAAACACAAACTCAAGCAAAAATAAACCTCACCATCCCAAACCATCAAATCCTCCTCCTCCAATCAACCCCCATTCCTATATTCGCAGTACATGAGTGGTGAGTAATCACCTGTCTACCCAGCAACCTACCTTTTCCCATCGCCATTTCCCATTCGTCGGGGATCACATCGCGCAAAGCGAAGGCAAGCGACCAAAAGTGATGGAAGTGCGATGATGCAACACTTTGCCAGAAACTCTCGGCATTGCGTTTTTACATGGATCACCCATCCCATTTCCCTCAAACCACATGTGTGGTTGACATTCAACCTATCAAGAATTTTGGAAGCGCGCCAGGGGTGTGCACACCGCGTGTTGAAGATACCTCCTACCGTACTGTGAATCAAACTTCCTTGACACAACCTTGATAAACGTTTTTGGTCATTCGCGAGTGCGAGGTTTGCGGGATGCGGATCGAGAGGTTATTAGTTTAGTTGGGTGTACTTGGATGGGTTGGAACTTGGAAAGAGGAGGATTGAATGATGTTGATTCATATCTGAGTCATGTTACCCCTCGGTGTACATCTGGGGTGTTGCGATTGGATAAGGCCCCCGCCTAGGAGAATATCAAAAGCGACCCCTCCTTGAGGAAAAGTGGCAAGGCATTCCTAGATTGTTGAAGGAGGAGATTCTTGGATCTTGTGGTGTGGTGTGGTGTGGTGTGGTGTGGTGTGGTGTGGATGTAGAAAATGGATTTTCCGATACCCCAGGTGAGAGATGGCAAAAGATCGAGGCCAAGGTGAAAGGAAATGGGGCGGTGGGCGGAATAAGGTTGGTTGGTGGATGTGGGAGGAGATAAAACCTTATCGTCGTGTGACTGACTCTTGAGATGGAATCATGTGAGATTTTGGAGAGGAATAGGATGTTTGTTATGTGATTGATTGTTAGTTCCTAGAATGTATAGTACCTGAGTAGTATTTGGAGGAAGTCAATTGAGTCTTTCTTTGAGGTATACTGGATGATTAGCTTTATGATACCTATACGCATCAAGGTTGTCGTTAGAGTCAATGTAGTAGTAGCTTTCTCTTCCTGTTATTCTTTCACAGGTAACAATAGATTGATCTCGATATACAACCCTTCCTTTCACCTCTATTCTATTCCTCCATACCTACCGATTTATTGTGTAGTCGGTACCTCCCCCATCAACAAAACAAAACAACAACAAGTCGATGGATCCCTTCCCTTTCGATGATCAGACGACATTTCCAAGATCTTATGTACCTAAGTATGTACCACACATGTGCACACATGTCGGTAAATGAGAGAGAATATCTTAGCAAACTCATGCTGATGCTCCACAGCAAAGTTCCACATGAACTTTAGTTCATGATGTGGGCACCAACCAACACTATAATTTTACGGTAGCTCAATGAGTAGTGAAACCCTTCCGAAATGGTCTTGGACGGACCAATAGTTATATGTTAGTGGTATGTAGGGAAATTGGGGTTTGAGGGTTGTCAAAATTTACGAGTGCTAGGGACAGTAGACTACAGTAGGGGAAAGTTTGGATGATGTCTAAGGGTATATTTTGAGGGTTTATTTTGAGTCTGAGGGTCTACATTCTAGAAAATAGAAGGAGAGAGAGAGAGAAAGAGAGAGAGAGAGAGAGAGAGAGAGAGAGAGAGAGAGAGAGAGAGAGAGAGAGAGAGAGAGAGAGAGAGAGAGAATAGAGTGAAAGCAAGAAGAAGAGATCATTTGACTTATTCCTGTAAACCAATCAAGGCATGATTTTGAGAAGGTTTTAATGCATTTGAGTTGCATGAAATCCTATGTCATACTTTCTACTCTATATACCTAATGAATGATCATGATGCTTCCTCCCGAGTCCCTAGGTAGATGGATATACATGGAATCCCAGTAAACTCAATCATCAATGACCCATATGCAGATACATATATACCTACTTCAATGTTATCACGAATCACCAAGACTCTCCTCAAAACCAAAAGAGGGACAGACATCAAAGATCAAAGTCAAAATCAAAGTCAAAAATCAAAAATAGTTCTGGAGATGGATAAACCGACACCTTTCAAAACTTTCACACTTGTTGTTCACATGGTCAGAACGGTCAGAACGCCAACCGCCAACCGCCAACGCCCTCGCCTTCCAAGCTTAGAGCACAAAAATAACAATGCTTCCTCCTATTTGTTGTGCTCCATTCTTTCTTTCCATTTCCCATATTTTTTTCTCATGGCCCCCTGGTACCGTTTGAGCGTTTGTCGTGCAATGACCCTCTCTTCCTCTCCAGTGTCTCTTCTCCCCCCCTATTCATATTCATATGTGACTCTGTATATCAGAGAAGGCTGTATGTATATTGCCAAAATGGTTAATGGTACTCTGTTGCAGTAGGCACCTATGTTGTCATACGCATATATATAGAGAGAGAGGATATGCGACTTTCCCTCGGAAAGTAATATTCCTTGTGTACATTATTATCCCATGAGGTTGAAAAATCGAAACATCATCAAAGCATTTTTTTTTGGGTGAGTGGACGGTCAAATCAAATATTCATCCCTGAC